CTAGTGAGAAACTAGTGCTGTCAATCAACTGTCACTCAGCGCCACCACACGCAAACGACTCCAGATAGGTAATATATGAAGCTGCCTGATTCACCGGTGTTGAAAGATAAAAACACTAGACCTGGGCTGCATGGTGGGGCAGTGGTTAGCACTGTTGCCTCGCAGCACGAAGGTTGCAGGTTCGAAACTCGGCTGCGGCCTTTCTGCGTGGAGTTGCGTGTTCTCCCCATGCATGTGTGGGTTTCCTCCGGGTACTCCGGTTTCCCCCACAGATCACAACATGCCCTACAGGTTATAAATTGTAAGTCGCTTTGGATAAAAGCGTCTGCTAAATGAATAAACATAAACATAAACATAAACATAAAAACACGAGCCAAAAGTTAAGAGAACCTATCAGATGGATATGAGGAAAATGGCTGAGTGGCGGAGGGAATGTTCTCCTCTGTGGCTCTGGGCGAAAAGAGTAAATGAGAAGATGAGCAAGGATGGTGTGTGCCGTCACGTCAGACAAATTTAATTACCATCTCACGTGTCAATCAGCTGTCCGCAGAGGCGGTTGACCAACAGGTCAAGCACAGTTTAAAGTGATTTTCTGAACCGAATAGGGATCCTTCCTATGATCTCATGGGCAGCTTTGCCTCTCCAACAAAGAACTTAAGAGCTACACTCATATCTTTGTGACATTTCAGGTGATGCACAAATTATCCACAGACAATCACGTTGCCAGAGAACATACACGAGTACACAGTAGGGTATTAAAAACACTAATCTGTTGTGGTTCATTTCATGCATGACTTGTGATAGGACACAATGCTGGAAATTCCCTGACACACAGAATGACTGACATTTTATTTGAAGGTAATTGCAGCTTTTTTTAAAAAAAAAAAGTAAAAAAGTCATAGAAGTTGTAGAACCCTAGAAGGCAAATCAAATTCAGGCCATTTACCATTTTTATTTATAACCGATATACCAATATTATCCAGATTTCTGATATGGATAAAAACCAAATAAAGGTACAATTTAGGTAACAAAATGTTCACGTCCTTTACTTTCATACATACTCGAACGTTACTTCACTTAAATTTACATTAAGCAATAGAAAAAGAGCCATATTTATTTTGTCTCCAACAGCAACTGAATCACATTCTCCCTGAGATAATCCTGAGAAATGTCCAATAAACCACAAATGTGCCAAAAAACATGAAATATTAAAAAAATGTACCTCTGATTTGTCATATTTTGACATTTTGAGAGTGAAGAGAAGTAGCTGAAGAGTTTAATGTATAATACGTGGTATGTAAATGTGACATTTAAGAGTAAATTCAGGGTATCTGCAGGTTTACGGGAGCCAAATTTAAGACTTTTTAAGACCTTTTTTAAGGCCAATTTGACCAAATTTAAGCTATTTTTAAAATTAAATTTAAGCTATAATTTCCAGCTATTGCCTGGAACCGGTGCTAACCTATGTCGCCAACATAGGATTAGCCAGTTACCATTAAACTTGCACTTCCCCATGGCGCAAGCTCCCACTAGCTTAACCAGCTAACGTGCTCATCTAAAAAGCCCCCTTTCACAACCAGCTGAATGTGTACGGTTCCACTTTTGCCAACATCGCACACAAAAAAAGCTGAACACTAACTAGAAATTCAGGAAAACTTAAAGACCTAATAAACCTTTTGTCTTTGGTAATTTAAGACCTTTGAAAGCTGTATTTAAGGATTATTAGTCATTTTTAAGGATTTTTAAGACCTTAAATTTGGAAAAGCTAATTTAAGACTTTTTAAGACTTTTTAAGGACTCGCGGATACCCTGAAATTCTAGGGATCTACAACCCCCCCCAAAGCGCTTCACAACACAATCTGTCATCCACCCATTTACGCACACACACACACACACATTCACACACTGGTGATGATGAGCTACATTGTTGCCACAGCTGCCCTGGGGCGCACAGATGGAAGCGAGGCTGCCAAGCATCGGAGCCATTGGTCCCTCTGACCACCACCAGCAGACGAGACAGGCTAAGTATTGCCCAAGAACACAACTACTGTGACAGACGGGGCTCAAACCTGCAACCCTCTGGTTACAGGGTGGGCAGAAAAGCCTAATTTATGCTTCTCTGTCAGCTACACAAGGGAGAGACGGACACACGTTGACGTTTTGCCTTCAGACTTCTCGGTCACCCGGGAAGTGTTGTAAAGCTATTCTCCAGCCACAACAACAGAGGGGTATCCTGCCATGTATCCAGTCCAAAATAGTACATTCACTATCGTGTTTTTTGTATTTCAGAGCAGTTTTAACACAGAGAAATTTGTCCCACATTCTCCTCCACCTCTTCATGTCCTCGCCACCTCTAAACCCACGTTTCCCGTCATTTCCATACACAAATAAAACGTGTGCTGCGTATCTGTAAACTCCTCTAGTACCGGGTGAATAAAACATTCACATTTTCAGAGTTTTTCTGCAAGGCGTTCTTCAAGCTGCTCCATGTCTGCCGCTAGATATAATTGGCTTTCTTTTCATTTTTTTGAGGAGGCAATGACAAATTTAAAAGAAGCGGCATCCTGGTCAATCACAAGCTTGCGCTCTCTGTCTTGTTCAACGGATGTTTACAAAAGATGGCTCGACTCTGTCCATCCTTACGTCGGCGAGCCCTCGCAACGACGGATGACGGCGTTGCGTGTTTCTGTACCAACGCAGACTGAGAAGCATTAATTAGACTTTAACGTCTCCACCGTTGCCTGCTAAATTACAAAATTATACTTTAATGCAGATAATATTGGACATCTCTAACATGAGACGTAGATAAAAACTTCACATTAAAAGAAAATATAATAGACAGATATTGTTTATTATATGCTGATGACTAGCTAAAATCTACATAATAGGTTATTAAACTGTTTTGTATCTTGTAATGAGAACCATAACAGCCACCCTCCATCAGTTTTCACATTGATGGAAATGTTCTTTTATGCATTTTTTTCAACACCAAAGTAGAAAGTTGGTCACACAACACGTGTTTATATTTTTTGCCGAGTTTTACTCTTTTCTCATGAAAATTTTCTCTTTTTCATTAAGTCCCCATTACCTCGGGGTGCACACTTTGCAACTCTAAAAAATTATCAAGTTGCAAAACGTATAAAACTCTGTAGGCAGCAAAAAAATATACAACTCTACTTATCTTGACATTTGAAAACTATATAATCGGCTTTTTAAAAGAAATAAGAATAAAAAAAGGGGTGATGAAAATGTAACCACAGAATGTTGGAGAATTTGGGGGCAGGGTGGGCATGCCACTCGTTCTCATTACCTCCCGGCTGAGACAAAAGGACCCACTAAAGAGCGGAGAACCAGAGGCTGTGATAAGGTAATGATAATGTTATGAGGACCAATCATGAGGCTGAGCTAAGAGCAGGGCCTCTTAATTTGTCTCCAGAGTAGTATTTAAGTGTCATACTGATATCTCTGCATGAGAATGATGGTGTGACACGTACAAAATAAATTCCTCTTTCAACATTATGGGGAGGTCATAAAGAATGAACAATCATTGTCAATATATAATATATAGAAGCAGAAAAGCAATAAAGACTTAGTATAAATATCTATCCGCATGTGCTGTGAACATCTGAATAGATACAATTGTTTTTAAAAGCCAAGTTCTCTGAGAAACCGTTTTTATTGTTAATTATGAGATAGGTCAATCTGAGTTTAATGTGCAGGCTAGATGTGAAAATAGTCTTCTACCCCTATTTCCTGCATTAGCCGCAAAAAATAATTAGATGTAAAATGCTCAGATTAGAAAAGTCAGTGACAGTAGCACTGTAATGTCAAATTACCATTCACGGTCTCACCCATCTTGGCTCATGACAGGGATGGCTGTCGTTGGTATAGCAACCAGGAGAAAGCAGTGTGTTTTGGCTAATATGAGCTAACCGTTAGCATTAGCAATTATGAAACACTTCAGAACTCCTTCAGGCTTGTGTTTTTTGTGGAGATAAAATATCAGTGTTGCAGAGTAAACAGAGCAAGTGGTAGTCGCGTTGCTGTAAGCCAGTCAGGACATAAGACTCAAAATCCCGCTGTCTTCTGTTCCCCTCTGCCTTGGCTAAATTCTAATTCCTCAATAAGGAACGTCAGAGCTTTTTTTCCTACAGAGATCCATTTACAAGGCATTCATTTACACTAGAGACCACAGCAAATATGTTGGAAAAATGAGTGAACTTGATCTTTAAAACAACCTTTGATTATGTACAATAATTTTTTTGTTGGCTAATATTTGGTGTGTCTGACCATCCAGAGCTAGCAGATAAAGTCGATCTTTACAGCTTTTCATTATATCAGCACTGTTCTCAGCAGGGAAAGGACAAACTGCCATGAATAGAGCACCCCTCCATAACACTTGTTCTCTAAAGATCTGCAGTGGAATAAAGTCTTTGCTTGTGCAACTCTTATGTGACGGTCTTTTTAAAGTCAATCCAAACAGTTCTTTAATTATAGAAAACACATTTGTGTGTGAAGATTATAGCAACCAGCTGATGAACAAGCACAATATATATATATATATATATATATATATATATATATATATATATATATATATATATATGTCCATCAGTGTTTCCCTGTGGCATATTTATAAAAATGGATAGATTTGTCTCACTCTGTTTCCTCGTGACCTTACACTGTGGAAACTGTGGAGCAAACAACGTCTAATCAATAGCTTCACCTTTTGTTTTGCCACCCAATAGAAGACTAAAATAAACAAAGTTCAGTAGAGCGTCGCTAATGCGCGAGATTTCTTACTATTGATGCAGATTTTTTTGTAAAGACATATAAAAACAGATTTAATCTGGATAAACATCTAATCTTAATATAATTATATATAATATAAACCCATCTAAATCAGCTTTATGTAAATAATGAAGTGCAAAGTTTGACAATTCTAGTCCAGATGGAAATATGTCATAAGCTGAAACGAGCGAAGCTCTGGTACAACATACCTCGATACTAAACTGTTTTCTCTTAAGCTTGAAGGCCAGGTCTTTGTGGTCGGGGAGCTGGCTCGCCAGACAGTTCAGGTGAGGTACCTGGAGAACCTGTAGCAGGCCTGTGGAGGACAGAAAGAGGAATAAATGTGGAGAACGTTCAGCGGTGCGTAAATTATACAACAAAACGTAGAAGATACCGCTTCTGTCTTGGTACAAGAGTATGTTCATTAAACTGCCCAAATAAAACACTTTCTGGTCAACTGGAGGCGTGTTTTCATATTTATAAACCAGGGGTGTCAAATATGCGGCCCGCGGGCTGAATCCGGCCTGCAAGTGGGTTAAATCTGGCCAGCGAGATGGTTGTGTAAACTTTATTTTCATACTTTACAATGTAGAGTGAAAATAAACTTATCTTTGTGAGCAAGTTTTCTCTGTAATGAGTATAAATAAAACAAAGCTGCGCTCAAGGCTCACGCACAAGAACTTGAATCACATCCTGAAGTTAGCTGCCACTCAGGATGTGACTTCTGATATTGATGTGCTGGTGAAAGCTAAAAGATGTAAAGTGAAATGAGTCAAATATACTTTAAGTGCTGCATGAAACGGATCTAGCCATGTGATCTGTAAGCTCTTTGAATCACTAAGGAATGTTTTTTTAATTGATTTATTATTATTATTATTTTTTTTTTCAAATTTTCAAGTACACTTCAGGTGTTGTACTTGTACTGATTTTGGATACACTGTCCTCAGGCTCCAGCCTTGTTTTATATTGATTGTTTTAAAACAAAGAAAACAATCTGAAGTTGTTTTTAATTTACCGGTCCGGCCCACTTGGGACTAGATTTCCCTCAATGTGGCCCCTGAGCTAAAATGAGTTTGACACCCTGTTATAAACAAATCAAACAGTCTCATTTCTTTATCTAAAATCTATGTTTTTTTCTTTTGATTTCACTTAAACCTGCTTTTTTAAGGAAAGCTTTCAGAAATTTAAGTTTTAGTTTGAGTGTTCGACGATTCATAACGTAGTAGATTGATATGAAATAATTTTCCATAAGCACTGTGGAACTTAATTTGCAGCAGCGAAATAAAGTAGTAGAGTTAAATGAGAAGTTTCATTATAAACATGGTGAACATTCATAATTAAACAATCCTGCTTTTCTACAGGCTAAAGGATGCAAAAGGTACAATTTTTAAGTAGTAATGTGAGAGAAAACCCACATAAACTACCAACTACTACAAATGGCAAGAAGAAATATGCAACTTTCTTTAACTCTGCACTTGATTTTTCCCAGAGCTGTAACTGTACTGTAGACGTGGGGCAGTGTAAATACACGTGACACAGAAAAGGAGAGATGGTGAGAGTAATGGAGGAAGGAAGACAGATAAAGTGGGGGATGGTGGGTTCTCTCCTCTGTGCACTTGGGTGATTTCCCGTTGCCTGATTTGCAGTGACAGGCTTCCCAGCATGCTTTGAGCAGCCCTGAACTGCTGCCGCAAACATACGCGCACGCGCTCACGCTCACACTCGCACCAGATGCGTTGGCACTCATCAACACACATCAAAACAATCATATGCATTAATATAGTTCATAAACCCACCACAGTTCCTCTAGCTGGTTAAAACAAAGCGAATTTAGAGATTCGAGCGGAACATTTGAGCAATATTTAAAGCAACTCTGCAGCAGAAAGTGATTTTAGGGAATGCTGCACAATGAAGTTCATGCATAAGATTTAGACAAACTGTTAGCGTTAGCTGTAATGATACAAAAATCGCCCCGATCGTTTTTAATTTCTTCCCATCATGTGTCACAGCCTCTTCTTCCACGAGGGGAAAACGAGAGGAAACGAAAGAAAAAAGTGAGAGGGAGAATTTGAGAGTCACAGCTAAAAATACCTTCCTGGCTCATACTGACCTTTATGTATGGAGAGTGATAGAAAAGAGAAGAGGAGAAAGAGGGAATGATAAAACTGTGCAGAAAAAGTGATGGAGAGGACTAAGGAGAGCAGAAATCAAGTCTGTTGCCCTCCCCTCCTCCGTCTTAGCTTCTTTCCCTCTGATCGTCCCTTACCGGTGTCCTGTCTCCCCCACTGAAAGCTTTGCCCTCCATTTATTAGCAGACCATGCTGGCCATGGAGACATTGAGCGAGGGATAGAGAGATAGAAGCAGAGGGGAAGAGAGAGTGATGGTGAGAATATCGATTCCCCAGTGTTGGTCTGCTCTGCTCCAGAGCCTCAGGGGTATGGGACTGGGGATGGAGAGTGGGCGAGGCGAGAGGGAGAGAGCCTCTGCTGCAGGAAGGGGGTTGGGGTGGGTGGACGGGCAGGGATGGAGTGGGTGAGGGTGCGAGAGGGGGTGGGGGGTGGGGGGGGGGGGGGTACAGCGTGGCAGCTGAATCCCCCCCGGCCTGTCTACTGAGGAGCACGTCTGATTGAGCAGCAGCACACTAACTCACACTGACAGCCTGGCCTGCAAGGGGGCTGCCCTGCCTCCATCCACAGCCCAGCCCCAGCTTTAATGCACTGCCTCCGAGTAGATGTGTGTGTGTGTGTATCTGATGGAAAAGAGACAGAAAGATAAGTGTGTGTGTTCCTACCATGGTAGTCCTTGTAGAGAGGGTTGGTCTCCCTCTCAGAGCCTTTGAACGATTCCAGGGCTATGGCATTGTCGCACAGCCTGGTGATACTGCCCATTAGAGCTCTGTCCTGTAGGATCAAGTTAGATCAAGATTAAGGGAGTGGGAGAGAGCAGGAAAAAAAGAACACAAGCAGGTAATTAACAGCCTCCTGACAGGACATCAGTGTTGCAATTAAATTAGGTCATCGCTTCATGTGGCCAGGTTAGCCCTGCCCATGGCTTGTAGCAGTCCCACAGGTCACTGCAGGGCAGTCAAATGGACAGAAGCATAACAAAATAAAATTCACATATTCATAAAAACTAAATGGAAATTTTAAACTGAGGAACTCGCAGGTAAACTCTGGCTCACAAAGTGCTGATGCAAAATCTAAAACCAGTGCAAAGCAGGACAACATTGTTTGATGAGAAGAGCTCCCCCTACTGGTTAGGCCAGGGATGCACTGAGAGTTGAAACCGTAGTTGGTGGAGTGATGGAGGAATAGGGTGCAGGTAGAAAGTAAAGAGAGCAGAGGGGATGGGGAGGAGAAGGAGGGACATTGGGACAGAGAGAGAGGGAGTCCTGCATTATTAATCACTTTCCCTCCTGAATCATTCACATCCTCCTCTCTGTGTTGGCTGCCACCGCCTAATGCAGTTTTCATGCCTTCATGTCTTTTCCCCCCACTCTTTCTTCTTTTCATTTTTTGTCCTACTTTTAAAGTATGCATATCCCAGCAGCCGGCACCAACGCTGCTGAAAAGAGTGTCTTAGGTAACGCGTGTGCTTCAGTTTTAACCAGTGCAAGAGTTTGGATGCAACAAATTACTCAAAAACATTAACGTGCTGGGACCAATAGTGTACATGTGAGACAACATTATCTGAGCTGCTTTGTGAGGGCCATAATGACTCTTTTGCACGTACTTAAATAAGGACAGGAGGTCCCTCAGCAAAGAGTCAAACCATTGGAAGTCAGGGGAATTGAAAGTGTCCGCTGACAGCAGCTCAGAAAAGCGGCAGCAGGGCAGAATGAGGTCAGTAAGATGTGGTCAACAGCTCCTTCACTTTAAGAAGATGGTCAGAGAGAAGCTTCTCTTTCTCATCTATTAGCCATTCATTAACAGATTCACGGCTTCAGCAACAATCAAGTTCATAGGCTAATTGAGCCTGAATTACGTAAAAAATACTTTCAACCAAACCTGAAACCAAGATAAACGGCCTACTAAGATACACAGAAAAAAAAATTGTTAAAAACTGAACTGAATCTGTCAGCTACTTTATCGTGGCATACAATATTTTATTTAAACAATTTAATTTATAAATACTGTAAAAATTTGAAACATGAATAATTTAAAGCCATTATGCTGTGAGCAAAGTCAATGATTAAAACATTTGTTTGGCTCTGGAAAGTCACTGGAAACCTTATCGTGCAGCTGTTGCAAGATTTTGTGAATTCACATTTAAATTCTGAGTTTGGTTGTGATTTTACCCCAGAAAACAAATATTTATACCTAATAGGCTGATTGTGAAATTCTGAATCAGAGTTTGACCGATATTGGTTTTTCTATTGCCGATACCGATGGCGGGTAGGTGGCATAGGTCAGCCAATGGCTGTCCATTTTGATGGGCTGGTGTTCATGGCCTATATTCTGATGTTTGTCAACTTATTTTCTTGCTAAAATGTCACTAATAACATCAGTTGATGCACAAAATTTCTGAAGCTGCATCAATTCTGGGACAGTTTAAGGGACTGCAATAGCTCAGGAGGTAGAGCAGGTTGTGCAGGAAACGGAAGGTTGGAGGTTTGATCCCGTCTCGGACCAGAGAATGCTGCTGGTGTGTCCTTGAGCAAAACACTTAACCCGCCTTGCCTGCTGCTGGTGGTCGGAGGGATGGGTGACTGGTGTTTGGCAGGTCTGGCCTGTCAGTGCACCCCAGGGCAGCTGTGGCTACATCGTAGCTCATCCCCACCAGCGTGTGAATGTGTGTGTGAATGGGTGAACGACTGATTGTGTTGTGAAGTGCCTTGGGGGGCTGTGGAACCCTATGAAAGGCACTTTACAAATACAGGCCATTTTTGAACTTTGAATTTAACCAACTGTGGACAACAGCTTACCTTTGTGCACCGCTCAGTGTTAAAGTAAAATAAATGTAGAGTATTTATTTTGCATATGTCATTAGTGAACGTAAATACACCTTTAAATTAAATTCTGCAACAACACCGGGCAGCCCGAGGATTTGCCTGACTTTAAATCAGCTTTTCCAAGTACAAATATCATGTGATGCATAAAAAACAAGCAACCAATATATCGTATACCTTGATATTACAAATGGAGGCAAGCTAAATGTTTGTCCAATCACCAGTGCTTGTCAGCCCATAATGGAGACAAACTGTTAAATACAGTGAAACATTGATTCTGAGCATCGGCTGAGATGAGTAGATCCTTAGACTCTCTAAAGTTTTTTATTCAATAAAGGAAGATCCGAATCTACCATTTAGATCATTCATACCCATTCAGACCCCAGACACATCTCGACTTGTGCTTGGGTTCATTTACCAGAGGTTAAAATGCTTTGAATGAGATTAAACAAGCATACATCTGGCAGCCTAAGCAATCTGTATAATATCCATAAAGAGTGTTTGACAAATTAACATAAACAATTGGTTATTATTAGGGGTGCAGACGTTGATGCCAATATATGACGCATCCCCAGTTATTATAAATACAATCAGGAACTTCTTTGTGAAGATGTAAAAACACCAAAGTCAACCATGAGATATTTTTGGCAACGTATTCAAAGAAAAACAACTTTTCAATCAAAGGCTCTTGAAGACTGGACGCTGTTTGCAGTGGAAAAGAGGAGAGATTCCCACATTACAGATGCATTGGTCTATGGGGATAATTATTCTGTAAAATTGGCCAAGCAGAGATAAATGGGAGCTGAAACACAAGGAGTGACTTGGAGTTAGGACCTTAGGCAGGGGTGAAGGTTTCCATCTCAATGGGGATGAAACCTAAATATTAATATCCAGAGCCACAGAAGAGGCTTCAGGAGAGAGGAAGAAGGAAAAGAAAACTCTGAACATCCTGGAGTGACTCAGTTGGAGCTCAGATATCACCCTCAAAGGGTATACGGGCACAGCTCTTTGGTCTTGCACTAACGTCCCTGATCCAACCGTTCTGGACTTTAAGCTTCACCTCTGTCAGTGCGCCCCAGGGCAGCTGTGGCTACACTGTAGCTCATCACCATCAGTGTGTGAATGTGTGTGTGTGAATGGATGAATGATACACTGTAGTGTAAAAGCGCTTTGGAGTCCTCTGACTCTGAAAGGCGCTATACAAGTGCGGGCCATTTATCATTTAAATGGTTGTCCCAAGACATAATAAACTTCCAAAGAAAAAAAAAACTGAACAAGCTTCTTAGATGAGAGGCGAAACACATTTAAGGTAACCAGAAAAGTCCCGTTGTTTTCCATCTAACTCTCAAGATGATCATGTCCTGGATGACTGAGAATGTACAACACATGGCTGACAAAGCTGCTTTAACGTCCCTGCAAACTAAGAGACAGGATATTTGCACCATCGTATTCAAATTTAGCTTCCAAAACACAATAACAATACTTTCTTTGTATCTGTTAAGTGTCTGGACTAATAACAAAAATCTTGAATGCATTTTAAAACTTTCTGTTTGTTCTGTATTTAGAAGGCTTTTCTGCAGTGGAATTTTCTGGGTATGTGTGTGTGAGTGTGTGTGTGTTGGGTGTGGTTGCAAAATATTGTATGGAGGTGGAGAACTAAGCTAGGACATGCCTAATTAATGTTTTAGATGGACTGTGGCACAGCGTTTCTGTGGAGAGGCTTTCAGTGAGTTGCTCAGCTTCCCAAGCTGCTCAATAATGGATTAAGTATTGTAGACTAGTAATAGTGTGCTAGCTGGATGAAGCCACACAGTTTCAGCCAGTTAGACCACAGCAGCCAGTCTAGACAGTCTTCCAAAGGCCAGGTTTTTCTAGCGTAACTACCTAAAGGTACAACTGTCATCAAATCATGAAGATAAAAATTCACACATTGGTGGTTTAAGATGAAAAAACTTTTAGACAATAATAATAACAACAACAACAATAATAATAATAATAAAAATAATAATACCTTTTGAGTGGCCTGTAGGCACAGTGCCCACCCTGGGAACGGGAAATCCAGGATCAAATCTCAGTCGGGTCATACCAAAGACTTTATAAATAGGACCCAATGCCTCCCTGCTTGACACTCAGCTTTAAAAAGGGTTGGATTGGGGGTTTAAACCACCAAATAGTTCCCGAGCACAGCCACTGCTGCAGCTCACCGCTCCCCACGGGGATGGGTAAATACGGAGACAATTTCGACCGTGTGTGACGACAAATGGGACTTTGACTTTAATAAAAGAGACCTGCATTGATAAACTGATCATATAAGGTCATGACTTAACAGCAGCTAATTATCTGTAAGTTGGCTTCATCACCAAACACCTGATACCATCCAAAATGTCCTCCTTTCCTTTTTCTCATCTCATTCACTTCTCTCCTCAGGGTAGATGAGGAGGAGGGGGCAGATTAAGGGTTGGGAAGCCTGGCCAGAGTGGGACAGGGGGACAGCTCCCACCACAGCTGACATCTGCTAGTTAGCCACTCTACTTTTTCTGACTAGGCCAAGCCGAGGCAGCGCTGTGCATGTAGGCCTGGAGCCAGAGCATGTTGTGACAACACAGCTGTTCTCCAAGTTGAGCACTGACCTACATCCTTAAATAAAGGGATCACAAACAACGAAGTGCCGGCGTTCTTATGTACGAGTACGCTGAGTGGTTGAAGAGTGGCCAGGTTAGTTCAGAATAAAGATGGACTTTTGTGGTGAGTGTCTTGATGTCTGGGGGAGGGCTGTGGTTCGCCATATGCCTCAGCAGATGACTCCACCTTCACACTGAGAAGCCAGACTGGACACAGACACACGGACTCAGAGCCCACCCGTCAAACCCCACCCCACCCACAAAAACCATCAAACTATAATGAGCAATAATTGTGACACAGGAAAATCTCACCGCCACACTAACAGAATCCAAGTTATTAAAGCATAAAACACATTTAGGCATCACTGAAAGATGACATGTCCCATGCACAAAAATCTCAACAGTGCAAATGACCAGTATCATTAAATCAGAGTCAAATGTAATGATATATATAAGTGTGTGTGTGTGTGAGTAAAACACCATCTTACCTGGATGAGATGTGAAGGCAGGGTAACCACGGCAACTGACAGCGAAGACCTCATTAAGGCACGTAGTCCGTAAAGAAAGGTAGTCAGGGCGTGCCGATGTTTAGGGTTGTCATGGCAACTCAGGTCATCACCCCACAGAGCTGAGCCAAGTGAGTGGAGCCCAACACGCAAGATGTTACGTGACTTGGACTACAAGAAGCAGAGAGAGGGGGAAAACGATCATGAAAGCAATTCAGAAAATCATGTGAAGGGGTGACGTTTTACTTTGTGGGTCACTAGTTGAGAGTTTAAATCTCAATATGATCTTTAAACTGTTTCAAAGTAGTTTCAGATAGACGTTGTCGTCTAGAGCTGTATGTCCAACCCCAACTGGACAGTCTGCTCAGCAGAACAGACGATTGGAACACTGTGCCCAAACGTGACTGGACACAACTGCCCAATCACAGAAGCCATCTGACACATGCACAATGGACCTGTCAGACGGGCTTCCAATATGGCCACCACCCAGAAACCCCTGCACATTCTTGGCAAAGCAGCCGTGCTCCACAGCCAAGGGGGCCTGGGTAAGGGTGGCGTGCCTTGCCTTGAAACCCCACTACCCCACCACAAGGGATCAACTGTAACCAACTCTGCTGAGGACAGAGAGCGAAAGTGGCCAAACAGTGGTGGGATATATATCACCAAACCTCACAGAATGGGTAGTCTGTCCAAACTGTGAGAGGTTTTTAGCCTTTAGCACAATCGCCTTTCATTTGGAGTTTCTTTGGGATGGTTCCTGATGACTGCGGTGAGCCAACAGTGATTAACAAAACCCTGGTTAAAAATCTGCTCACTTTTCTCTTCCTTAAACCTCCCCTCCCATTAACACAGCTCTCCAAAAAAAAAAAAAAAAAAAAAAAACCTCCTCAGCCTTGCCATGTATTGCTTCCTCTCAGAACTTTATGACCTAAGTTTCATTTGGATGAGAATCATTATCAAGGAGATCTAAGAAAAACAAACACCATTGTTCCACAGAGACTTTTACAGCTGGCTCATAGTTTCCTAAAGGCCTCTCACGCCGCGCTGTGCATTTGTTTGTCTTTATATACCGTTGGTGCTACATCTCTATACCTCACTGAGCTGAAACGTTAGTCACAACAATACACGTCCTTTCTTTGTTCAGCAGTCTTTTTCTACAGAGGTTCTGAGGGCAACACAATTAGAAATCTATTCGTGTGTCTGAAGTGCAGCAGGAGGTAGCTGCGGTAACACAACCGTTGCTGTGGCAACATCAGGATGGGCGGCCACATTTAACTCCTATAGTTTAGCCTATAGAAAAATCAGGGAACAGAGCCAGTGAGGTCTAGCCAAGGATCAGAGGCCAGCCGTATAGACTATAACAAGTCTGGGATCACAACCTAATCAGGAGGTGTCACTGCTGCTCCCCCAAACTTCAAATACATGAAATCACAGATACACTCTCAAAATTTGTCTTTATTTATGTTTTTAATAAAAAGCAAATAACAGTCGATTGCTAAAAGACAAACCAAACCAATGCAAACACCCTGTCATCCATACTGGGCCTTTTAGTGCCAGTGACCATGTGGCTCTGTGCTGGTCTGCATTCCTGGACTGTGCCAACATCATGTCAGGTGGTCACGCTGCTTTAATGATGTCAGCAGTTAATCTGGTGCCTGAGTGACGGCTCTAGAGGAGAGAAAGCGGGGGGGGCAGAGGAGGTAGATCTCCCGTGTGACTGACAGGGGGAGAGGTGGCTCCAGGTGACGAGCAGAGGGGTCACAGAAAGTAGGTGAAAAAGGCACACAGACATGCTAGCATGGATGCATGCTGCTGTGAAATAAAAGAGATGGACAAAAAAAAATGTGTGTGCAGGTTTAGAGCAACAAAATGTTGACAGTGGTACAATAAGCTCTGTAAAATTACATGGTGAATCTGGCATAGAGTCGTACATATTTTATAAGACATGTTGATGCTAGAAATGCCAAAAACGATTAGAGAAAATAGAACTAAAACTAAATGACAATAATAAAAGCAAAAACACCCCACTGACTTCAGTCTAAAAGAAATAAGAACAACACACGTATTTATTTCTTACCATGGGGGCGGTCAAATCAAAGCCCTCTCTGTTTATGACCTCCTGAAGTGACTTCAGTAATGCAGAGTAAGACTCAAGCATGGGGCTGGAGAGGAGAAACATGGGCACAGTGAATAAAAACAACATGAAAGAGCAACCCAAGACATACACACCATCACCAGTTTGAGTGTTATGGTAAAACTGGGCCGAGCTCATCACTGCTGCAGTCTAATCCTCAATGACTGCGGCGTGCTCCTCCTGACTGTGCTTTTCTGGAGCCACCGGAGCAGACAGATGATCCATATCAAGAGATCCAATTAATTTATTTGGTTGATTAAATTACAACACGACTGGTTCCCTGTCAGCTCCCTGAGGAATTGATTGTGCCGAGACAGACAGACACACGAGACGCACACATGCACAAACGTACGCGTGGCGAAGGCAAGATGTGGGATTAATGGGTTGATATTTGAAATGAACAGAGGACAGCATTTTGGTGTTTAATCAGGGGTAAGATGTGCACCACTGACAAGGGGCATACAGTACCATCAGAGCAACGTTTAGCAACAGTCAAGGTGATGGATGACTGCTGAGACCCCCCCACCCCATATATAGCCAATAATAACGTTAACCCCATCGTTTTACACAGGACCCTCCACTTAAGAATGCTAGGCCATTGTAATGACCACTCTGGAGCAACTCACAGTGGGCTGCTGTGTCAGCTGTCAATTTAACCTGCCAGCCACAAAAGCTGATGCTCATAGGTTGGTCACACGCCAATTGCCCTGCATAAAGAACAGAAGTACACCCTTGTGTTGATCACACTCGGCCAAGTATATCAATGAACTCTATTTCAGTTATTCAGCACAACAATGGTGCCTCCTGACCCCGCTGTGGCTAATGATAGAGCTGGATTGGTGAAAAGGGACACCTACACACCACGGCCTCTCTGCTTATGCCCGAGCCCTCAGGTTGGGGGGGGGGGTATGGTGTGACAGGAGGTTGCCTCTGGTTGGCAGCCATTGTGTAGCGCAGCATTGTATTTTAGCTACCCCTACTGAGAATTTCTCATTCAGGTACCAATAGGTCTAGGTGCTTAGCTCCGGGGGCTAGAGCGTCGGCTAATTAGGATCATGCACAGGGAAGTGTCTTTATCTCAGTGTTCCTCTTTCAGCTTGGGAAGAAAGGAGGAGAGAAGGGGGGATGCTTGGTCTTAAACAACAGGATCTGTATCACCTAGAGAGTAATTTGTGCCAATTATGCCTTCAAGTGAAACGGAGCAATTTAACAGCTAGGGTATCAACATGGGGCAGTGGACACGTGCAAGGGGGTGTAGCCTGCACTGGAGTTTGTGTGTTACATGTCTGTGTGTGTGTGTGTGTGTGTGTGTGTGTGTGTGTGTGTGTGTGTGTGTGTGTGTGTGTGTGTGTGTGTGTGTGTGTACGTACATGTATTTGTGGCTGGGCGGGCCTCGGGGCACAATGGTGCTGTGCAGGTGTAGTTTCCAGCTGTCAAAATGTCTGTAAGATCTATAACCCATAACGTTTCAGCAGCACCACTATGCAACTCTCACTCACCGCCACACAACTTAAATGCTTTTATTTTTGTAATCCTATATTCCACCTATTAAATATCATTAGGTTCTGGGCGGATATCGAACAGAATACTCGGTGTCGTTCACATCCGAAGCGCCGCACTTCAAAAGGAACGCACACACAACGTGCGATGTGTTTGCACGGGCGCTCTGTTTAACCGTCTCTGTTTGCTGACATAAAGAACGAGGGATCTTCTAAAGCCTCTTCCAACATCCTCTGTGCTCCAGATTGCTGTATTTACCCAGAGCATGCAAGTGTGCCTTCGTGTGCTCTTGTGTGTTCAGCGGCACTCTTCGAGTAAAGAGCCTGCGTGACCTCTGAACCCTAAGTACACTTGACGCAGGAGAAATCAAACAGATGCTGAGCAAACAGGACTCTTATTTAAACAGACAAGAGGCTGAATAATTTGGCCAATGGCAAGAAGGTTGGACTAGAAGATGGAAAAGGGAGATTTTAACTGACTTAAACTTACTGATTTTAAATATATTTTTGAAGAGTTTATCTAAAATTACAAATTTAGGCTAAATTGATCGGTGATTTAAACTTTAATGAGTGATAAAACAAAGTAAAAATTATATCCTTTTACATTCCAAATTCACTGAATTGATCTTAATAATGAATACATAATCACTGGTACGGTGTTTTTGTTATTCGTGGTCTTAAAACCATTCCATTGAAGCTGAAACAATTGGCTATTAACAGAAGACTGATTTGTAGCATCTATTTACATCATTTAACAACTTCAGTCAATTTCAAGCAAAAGCAACTTATCGAGCTTCGAAAATTCAGAAGTTTGTTTCACTTATGCTGTGGTGAAGGAGCCATATCATGGAAAATCCTCTTTTTGGAGCTTTTTATCATGTGATATTGTCATTTCCTCATGAGAAATAGGCCTAAACCAGTTTTTGGCTGCATTCATGCATTTTACTGCCTCAGCCTCAATCTGGACCTTGTAAAGATTTTTCCTGCATCCAGGAGAAAGTAGCCCACTTGCATCATCAGGCATTTCGTCTCCCCCTGAACCTGGTCTGGTCTCGGTTCTGAAACCTGGATATTCTGTGGATGTTCTGACAAATTATTCTGCATTAGGAAAAAAAAAACACCGCCATAAAAACCGAGTATCCTCTCTACAAAGATGCACGTAATGGCCAGCTCAGGCTATTCATCTTAGGCGACTATGTTCAGCATGCCGGACTGGGCGCTTAGACCACTGGACTACCAAGGCCAACACAACAGCAGCCTTGCCTAAAACACTATTGTAGGTGTGTTTTGTGAGAGCGGGCGTGGGCGGAGCTTCACTGAAACGGACCATTGAAATTCCGGGTATAAATTCAGGCTGATGAAAATAACTCGTATTTCAGATAAATGACATCTCAATAGTACCAGCGGTAATATTTTATCATATGTCGTGCCAGCCTTTGCTGTCAAATATTTAAAATAGCATGGCCCTTTAAATATGTTTGTGGGTGAATGACTGATTGGGTTGTAAAGCGCCTTGGGGGGTTCCAGAACTCTAGAATGTGCTATATCAAACACAGGTCATTTGAACCATCATTAATATATTAACAAGCCCCTGTTTCCTCTTATTTTCTACATTTTACAAATGAGACAAAGTGTCACAAAGGTTATCTAGTCATCAAATAAGCAGTTTGTTGAGAGTAAAAGTTTTTTTCCAACTTGCACAAGCTGTTTATATCTCCACCACTTGTTTGTCACGTAACCCAGCTCTGTCTCTCTGTTTATTTTAGTTGACCTGTAATCTGTGAGCATTGTGTTCTGTTGGTGACGTCTTGTTTGTATCACGGTGTTCTGTGGAGGATGTCGTGCTTGCGTGGCTGTGTTCTGTGGGTTTTGTCTCATCGTTTTCCACATGCTCTTTGGATGATGTCTACCTGTGTGTGTTTGATGACTGGGAGAGATGTTCTGGAGGGTAGAAGCTGTGGCACTTGGCTGCCAGGCGGATTTCTGGTTCCATCGTTTTTGAGACGTCATAGTAGTGACCAAACCGGGAGGAGGAAGCCAGGAAACTCTGAAAGGTTCAACAGGTCATGTTTAAGATGAGCAACAAAGTGATGATTAGAGAAATACTTCCTGATTATCTTATGCAACACTTCTTGCTTTAAACCTGTGTGAATATCCAGTGAGAATGAGTCAGTTCCTTAGAAGATGTCCTTATTGTCTCTCTAATACGATAAATGCATGTGCTTTGCAAGACTATGGTAATGCAATTGCATTGTTTATGGGTCATTCCTCAACATTCCTACAGCAGAGAAGTTAAACAACCACTACGACCAGGCTCTTAATCATTTCTTCACATAAATGTCCACTTCTGGCTGTGAAAGCGAACATGTCAGGGAAGCAGGGGAAGGCGGATGTTTTCCTGCAGCTGAAAGAGAGAGTTTTAGCTCTTCTTTCTCCTTGAAACCAGGGATTCCATTGTTGGAGAGGCCCTTAATCTACTCCTAATCTGGATTAGGGCCCCCGGTGTGTCCCTCTCCTGGTAGAACGAGGGGGTCAGCGGAGCAGGGTGGGAGGGGGGTGGTTGCAGGGGCTCATCTTCTCTTTGTGGGCTAGGCAACCCGCTTAGCGTTCCATCCCCGCCCTGACGGCCTAACCTTTGATCTGATGTCTTCATCGGGAGAACGGCACAGTAGGCCATGCCAGGAGAGGTGTGTGTAAGGGGAAAGCAAGCGCCGACTCTCGGGGTGAATTTGGCATGCAAATCCTCTGGTGGGGCTTACTAGTGGTTTGTAAAGACGATTTTACAGGGAAAGGGGGAGAGGTGAGGAAAGGACACAGATATAAAGAAGTTGCCAGGGATAGAGAAAGAGGGAGAGGATCCCCAGGGACACAGTGTGTGCTGTTAATCCACATAGCGATATGGATTATAGACCAACGGGGTAGACTGCAGAGCAGTAGAAGGACAGGGTCCCCTTTGCTCAAAGCGGAAGAAAGAGTGTAGAGCCGCCGACTCTGGCAGGGGGAAAGGCAGGGATTTGGGGAAAGACAGGGGCGCAGGTCTGGGTCAAAGGGTTGAGCGAGCAGACATGTCAATGCACAGTACCCTTGTTTCCCAGGCTAAGCAGGGGTGCAAGCATGTGTGTGTGTGTGTGTGTGTGTGTGTGTGTGTGTGGTGTGTGTGTGTGTGTGTGTGTGTGTGTGTGTGTGTGTGAGTTGGGGACCAGTGAAAAGCCTACCTATTGCCAGCTAAGTGTGAGTAATCTGGTGCGGCTCTGAAAAGAGAAGCCGAGGCTTCATTCACTTCCATAAAGAAGTTTAGGGGCCGATGGATTTAGTGGTGGAGACAATTGCCAAAGCACTAACGGCCTGCACTGTGTATTCTCACACCACCACTAAGAGACACAAGCTGAACTTTTCATGAAAGATTACATTCATGCTGCAATTTTACTATGAGGAGGTGAAAACAAACACGCTGAAGTAAAATCTATAGGAGACAGATTTTCATGTAAACGCGTTTGTTCACCTGCACTTTAGGAAGATTCTGATAACGCCAAGCGATGTTCATGGCCTCCAAACTGTCCCGTGGTTCACAAGGTAGCCTGGGCTGCTCCACAGCTTTGGGAATAGCAACATCATCCAAGATGGGTGCTGGGAGTTCCTGAACAAAATACCAAATAACTTTAGCAAATAGAGTTTTTAATGTTAACTGTACATGTGTAATTACTTTATAATTACAGGAGGTAACAACAAACTCAACAAGATGTTAGATTATCTTATCTTAATAAAAATACTTCTAACAGAAAAAGTTTCGTCTTTGCAGCAAAGCAGACAGATCAATGACCTCCAAGTCACTGAATCCATAACAGGGACAAAAAGTTCTTTCAAATAAGATGGAATTTCAAAAAAGATAGAAAAACAATAAAATATCAAATTCAATCTTCCATCATGGTACTAAAGTTGAATTTGTGTTGTTTTATTTATTTTTAGCCATGCCTTTAGTATGAGGAGGTAAAAAATAACTTATGAAATATATTATGGAGTTATTTTTTTCATATTCTAGTAAGCAGTTAGAAATGCAGCTGTTCTGGTGAATACTGATTTCCTAATCTTGTACAGTAGTGGCCTGCCGGTACTGATCGACTTATTTATCCTAACTATTGAAAAAACTTCTTTGTTCACTCTCTATACAACTTCAAAAATATTATTGTTAGATTAAAACCTTTCTTGCTAGTGTGAAAAAACACTCACTAATGAAAAAAGTGCAGTCATAGCTCGGATAAAAAAACGAATACGAATTTTGAGTTTCAGATTAGTCGATCACTGATCAGACCGATCCATCTAAAAGTATACCAACCATTTCACTTTCTGTGACCATCTACTCAATATTTAGTTTTCACTTTCATTCTCTTTTATTCTCCATTTAAGTAACATTTATTTGTTGGTGCACACTTCATCTTTTCCTGTAATTATATGAATAAACAAATTGGACAGCCATTAACAGTTACTCTGCATAAAGAATATTTGAATGTATAAACAAATATTTAAACCCCTTTAGACAGTTGGTTAGTACTGTGAGTTTCCTGTAGTAACTTCTGACTTTATGCTTATTATTGTAATACAGAAATTGTGTCATCTAAAGAAATCTTAGCGCGGACTTAACTATGGACATAAAAAATGATGTGATATTGCCCCAGTGGGACTCCCACTCTTTTAATATGTCTTTGAAATGCAAAGAGAGGGTAAGGCTATGAACCCTCCAACTATCAATCAGACGGAGAGAAGGCCGCACTCTCCTCCTCCTCCTCCTCTTTACTGGGTGGCAGGCAGCTTCTGGGGACATGGTCCTCATCAGGGATCGATATGCCGGGAAACATTTCAACAATGTCACAACCACACTACCCTCGACCTCTCGGAACCCCTATTGACCCAAACATATGTTGAGGAAGGCGGTTTGTCGGAATTGTACAGATGGAAATCATCTAAAAGTGACTAGATTGTGCAAGTTTTCTTTTAGATGTGGCAATTTCATCACTTAGCTTAAAGAAATAAGATGTATTGAGGCCATCCTACTGTTTTGGTGATTGGCTTGTCAACTCTTATATGTTAGTGTACAGGTCATGTTTTGCAGAATTACATTTCTTCCCTTGGACATCACAGAGAGGACGGTAGGTTTTCTGATACCTGTAAGATGTCATCAGGGTTATCCTGAGCCGCTGCCACGAAAAGTTCATGCCGACACACTACTCCTTCTGCCAGAAAGTACTTCAGGATCATGCGAGAGTAGCTATCATATCGATCCTCCCCTAACAGAAAAAAGGGAACAAGAATCAGAATTTTAACACGAGTTACAAACTTCTAGCCAACTCAGAATTAAAAAGAACACGATTAATATCGAATGATTGATTGGTTATTTTCCATTTATTCAAACACCTCAGCACACGTCCAGCAGTTCATGACAGCATCACTGCTTCTGACTGTAATTGGCATAAGGGTCACGTTCTACCTATCTTTTGTAGGCAACACATGAAGCAGAAATTGACATGGCATATGGGGTTGAAGAGATGACATCTTTCAGCCCTCGTGTCAGCAAATTAACAGTATTCCTGTCTTCTTTCACCTATCACATTCCAAACCAGTGCCAGAAGTGGAGACACCTGCCTAAAGCATTTACCCGACTCTTCCCACCGAAACAGAGAGGTACCTCTGTGTTCAAGACAAGTGGAAGCAGAAGGTGGAGGAGACCGTGGAGGTCTTCGATATCCTTCCTGACATCTGCTTCTCTTGAATCTCTGTACTTTTTTTGGCCTTCTAATGGCAGTGGCATCTTTGGACTGTTATGTTTGAACTGTCATTCACACAGAGTTTGTTTCGCGAGTTTAATTCGGAGTAAATCCCAGTTTGGAGAACTGAAATGACAGTTTGTAAGGAGAAGGTCTTAGGCATTAAAAGCATGATGAAGTCATCCTAAACAGCAAACACACTTTTCCAAAGATGACCCTTTTTGTGTATAAGAGCCACCCAGCTTTTCCACAATGTATAGTCCCTAAAAGGAAATAAAAATAAGGACTTTTATTTATGATTAAAGCCAGCTGAGCAGGGCGCATACTTCTGCCCAGCATGCCACGGCTGCTTCCTGTCACTGTCTCACTATAGTAGGGATTTCATAGGCCTTTCTTCTTCACAATGACAAACAGTGGGCACATGGACAAAGGCGGCAGTTACAGTCGAGGTAATGGGCATACAGCTGACAGCTTGGGAATGACATCCTGACGCGTCATCCTCGAACATCCAGAGAATTCCCCCCTCCTCCCACGTTCCCGGTCTACATCCTCACCTACGGACTTCGGATGGCCCAGGAAATTCCACGGCCCTTCAATTTGTTGTCGGTGGGGCTCCCTGTCCTCTTATTGATGGGTTTCTAGGTCAGCAGGCCTTTGTGGCTTTCAGCAGGCCCCACAAAGACTCCCAGATGGGCCCTCTCAAGATGGGGCCTATTGTGGTAGTGTTACTATGGGAGCCTTACAAATGGAACCTCCAGGAGTCATTAGGCTGTTGAGGCAGGGGGTATGAAGGAGGGGGGCAGGAGATGGTGGTAGGGGTAAGGGAGCAACAGGGGGTGGGGACGGTCATATCTTTGAGGTAGATCAGTCACTCTGGACAGTCATAGAATTTTCTATTTTTTTGTGTGTGTGTTTTGCTCTTTCTGACTAAGGTTTGATAAAGGGAGGGATTCCTCTGCTTCATTGGTCTTCAAACAAGAGGGTGGGAGTGCAAAAGTCCTGAATCATATCTGCTAAAGCTCCAGGGCAAAGGGACAAAAGATCTAGGTCAGAATGTTTCCCCCTTGTATGTATTTGGTGTATAAAGCATCCTTTATAATTAGCAATTTATGTTTGAGATATAAAAGGATAAGATTACATGACAATTCTGCTAAACTAAATTCCATTTCAACTCTGTTTATTTTTCGAAAAGTAAAAATCCAATTACATAAAACCCCAAAACAATTAATTTTATTTAAATACTGCCCAGATCTATGCAAACACAAACTGTTAGATTTTATTTAATGTTTTGCACTGCATAGACATTGTTCGTTTCTTGTCAATTATGGCGGCGTAGGTACTGGATCTGCTCGGGGTCCTGCGCCTGCAGATGACGTCACACTACAGCAAAGCCACTTGGCCAAAATACATTGCATCTCTTTTTCAATACTGTTCTTTCACACATAGGTTTTGGGAAGAGTTTAGCAGTGTTGTTATTAAACTCATGTTTCCTAGCGCCTAAATGTTTTCTTTAACAGTGTAATTTTTAAATAGAACACCATATTGTCTGTTGTTTTAAAAGAATGTGAAACTACATAAAACCAACATCAGACTGTGCCAGAAAGCACAACAGTTCTTCATTGTGAAACTTTTTAAACATAATTACACAATTAGCAGCCCTTTCTGTTTGCGTTACTGTGGGATTCTTCTGTATATTTTGTTAGTGCATAATAAACGTATAAATTCATCCATTCAAAATGTTGTGGATTTTATTGTCCAATAAGTTTTTTAATTCAATTTTGCCCCATTTCATCAAAATCAGAGCAGCTCAGGGTCTCAGTTTATCAGTTGATAGTTTTGCTTTTATTTGAAATTCCTTTGGCAATATAAACATATTTTCCCCCCAAAAAAGTTTTTGGGACTACAGAACTGCCACCACAAGGACTACAACCGCAAATTTGTGTGGACCAATCAAAATCTTCCAAGTAACCATGCCAACTTAACTTTTAGGAACGTGGTAACGTAATTTTCATAAGTCTTACGTCCAGACGATCATCTAATATGACATCATTTGCAGATGTTATGGTACCTACATTATGGCTTATGGCTTTTCTCTACTTGAGCAAAATCCCACATAAAGTCTGAAACTGAACTGTTCAATAATATGCCTACAACTGTTTGCTTGTATTTTTTAAAATGTCATTTAATACTTTTTATGCTCTCAAATGTTAAAATTAATTTCCCTTTCTTTCATTCAAAAAATTCTCAGAATACAATTAGCTCAAGAGTAACGCCAAGATTGTCCTTTTTAGGTGAGAATTATAAGTATTTGTGTGCAACACGTTTGTGTCCACTTCAAAGGTTTGAAAAACTACTTGAAATGGTACTTATTGGTACTATTTAACAAAAGAGACATCATAACCTAAGGGGAAAGAACACATTGGATCACTATCATACAAGCCAGGCTTTGTTCCTCCTTTTACAGAAAAACCCCAAAAAAACAAAAACACACAAGATGAGAGATCGTCAGACAGCAGCCATACTGGACCGATCCCCCTCTGGATGATGAATCGGAATGGACAGCTCAAAACACTTCAAAGGCAGACAATGACCAATCTGATAATTTTATGTCTGTGTCTCACAAACAGGCCGTCACGGCTAAAGGGGCAGACTGTAGGAAACGACCGCCTGAAACAAACACAAACAAACACACACTCCGACCCCCCCCCCCCCCCCCCCCCCACACACACACACACACTCCCCACCTCGATTCCACCCACAGAAGCACAACACAGACACACATTGTGCACATACACCACTCTTTCAGAGACAAACACACACTCGTGTTTCACCTTTACTGTGTCTCTCATTACTAGATGAAACCAACCGTACATTGATTCACAAAATGGAAGGGAAGAACGCATTAGTGTGTAATCACTGACTCCTGCATCGATTGGGGGGATGAATTAAAGGGCAAAGCAATATCATCAGTTGGTATAGGCCTCGGCTACGCACAAATTACAGCTTCAAGGGGAAACATGACTACCGTAACCTTACTGTCCACCAGTGCATATAGCCTAGCCTACGATGAATGATAATAATAATAATACAGTAGAAGACATTTAAGCTCCTAGAAAAGCCACTTACTTTTTATGTTATTCCAGAAACTTCTGCAGCGCATCTGCAGACGAGCATATTAATTAGGGATCAGACTGAAAGTGTGAACACCTGGGATTCTAACTAGACTTTCAGGTCATTAGTCTATTTGTCAGTCTGCTATAGAGATTAAACACATAGAACTAGCAAACGCATAGAACTAGCAAACGCATACACTCGTTGATTTCACTTTTAGAAACAGGGTAGATGTTTAGAATAATGTCATTAAAAAAAGTATAATTCATGAAACAACATTACAAAATTGTGGCTTAGAGATTTTAAGAGGAGAAGGCAAAACTACCATATAGTAAAGAAAATGCTTCAAGAGCAGGCAGCTTTAATTTGATGGGACTAACACTGGAGATGAAACACGGGGTCAAATGGAACTGGACAAATAACATGAGCTGGGTTCTTAACAATGAACACAGGTAATTTATAGCACTTTGTCATAAATCAATGCCTGCAGAGAATGCAGACATCACGATCAATAGGTCCCCTTTTAAAATGATTTCTAGGTCTTCTCTCCAGCCATCGTCAGGAATTACTTATTTGTGGATTTTTTTTTTTGTTGTCAAAAGTTTAGTCTTTGTGTGAAATAAAGCTTAGCTGCCTGACTCTGTTATACACATACAAAAACACATATAAATAATATTGGTTTGCTTTTTCGTTATGTTTCATAGAGATGTGAAATTCAGACAGCATCATTGAGATAAATACTTTCTAATAGTTTATTACTCAAAGTCATTAAATTCATTAACAAAATATTTTTCCAATGTGTTTTTAATGTTGGTTTCCAATCGGGATTAGGGATGTCCCGTTCAGATATCGATACCAGAAGTAATTCAATATCAGCTCAAAAACAGTGTATCGGATTATATCAGACGGCATCAAAAACCTCTGTTATAAGCAGTACGTTAAGGTTCACATTTTTGCAACCAAAATTGTCATTTTCATACTTACTGTTATTAGCTCTTGTTCTCCAACTGAGTAATATCATTCGAGCAAGCCTTTCATAAATCCCACACTATGAAATAGGTAAAAGTATGTATGATTTGTGCTGATATTGTATCAGATTGATATTGGTATCAGTCATTACTGAAGGCTGCAGTATTGGTATTGGAACGGAAGTGGAAAAGCTGTATCGAGATATCGCTGAAGTTGATCCTAATTTCATCTAACAAAGCAAAACAGAATGATTTTTAATTGACGTTCAAACTTTGTAAAAGTGTTTTTAAGCTCAGTTCAATTATCTTAAATTGTTGATTTGGTCAACACTAGCATGTGTAACATCTCTGTAATAGGGAACCTAAGTCTCCTCCCTTTCCGGTCGGCTCATGGATCCTTGGAAGAATGAAAAAAATAATGTAACTCAATGAGGCTAAAAGAGCTATTTTCTAATCCGCTTTGCCTTACGCCCTGGATCGCACACACGTTGTTCTGCAGTTTAAATGAAAAATAATGACGTGTGTTTTGACCATGCGTGTCACATACTTTGAGATTTATCAGCTTGTAAAAGTTCATAACTAGCATGACTGTGGCTGCCGTCAGCCACAGTCATGCAGTTTTGAGATAATTTATGGTTCAAGTTACGATAAATAAGCTAAGAATACTTTATTTTTAATATAATGTATACGTTATGGGGTTTAAAAGCACACATTTAAATGGTTTACAGAATATTTCCAGGGTGGAACCAATGTTTAGTTTGTTGTTTCGGGGTTGACAATATTTTCAGTTGCACGCCACACTTGATAGGCGGCAGCATGCTAACCGCTATCATTCGTTGGTAGAGCTATGCAGACGCATGCAACGACGTTTTCCAGCTGTGGAAAGGAGTGACACTGCAAGATGTGTTTTTTATTAACCCCTGCAAGTTAATGCGGCCAATGAGGTATGCAATGTGTGTGTTTATGTCGTGATGGGAAAAATAAGATGTTTGTTTGTGACAGAACTGTCGAGTCTATGGTGGTCACGGGTAATTTGTAAATGTAAATTGTGAGTGTTTTATCTTGTGCATTAGTGTTTCATTGTTTATTCTCTATGAGAACGATTTATTGTGGAAATTGATTATTCTATGTCATTTGTACAGTTCTCACGGCACCGTTGGTGGCACCTGTGTGCAATAAATGCCAGTCAAAATTCAAGAACGCCTTGTGTCCATTTTCAACTTGGAGGGAGTTACAATGACTATGAATCAGACGTTGGCTTGTCGCATATCTGACGTCACCACAGTATCTCCTCTCCTCTAGCGTTGCTGCTACTTACCAAATGGCCACATTTATGGTGGTTCTTTCCTCCTGAAGCAAGGATTCAAAGTTCCCTGAACGTACAGCCATTTTCCTCTGCTCTTCTCGTCAATATGGTGATGCGCATTTGTAGTCCTGGACACATTTTCAAACTTAAAATAACTTTTCCCCCCGTTCTTGGCATCAGAATGTGTCTTTAAATTACATGGACATCATATGTGAAAACCATCATTTTTTGGTCCTTCCAGGGACCCATGGTCCGGAAGTAGATGGGCGTGACTAAGGCTCCCTATAGATGTCTTTTTTTATTATTTAAATTTTAATTTGAAACAACTGCATAATTTCAAACTGCTAATGAATAAGTAATGAAGTACCAGCCTAGTTGGGGGTAAGGGCAGAAAATTCTATGGTTATGGTAAATGGCCTGTATTTGATATAGCTCCTTCTAGAGCCCTGGAATCCCCCAAGGTGCTTTCCAATACAATCAGTCATTCATCCATTCACACACATTCACACGCTGGTGGGGGATGAGCTACGATGTAGCCACAGCTGCCCTGGGGCGCACTGACAGAGACGGGGTTGCTGGGCACTGGTGCCACCGGTCCCTCTGACCGCCACCAGCAGGCAAGGTGGGTTAATTGTCTTGCCCAAAGACACAATGACAGCGACAAACTGAGCAGGGCTCAAACCTGCAACCTTCTGATTACGGGACGAGTACTTAACTCCTGTGCCACTGTCATCCTTATTCGTTTTTACTGTCTAAAATATAATAAATAGGACTGTATATTTCACTAGCTTTGGTAAATACCATTAGATAAAATGGTTTTTGTTTCCAAATAATACACAACGGTCGTTATGCCTTCGTCTGACATCCATGTTTGACTCCTGTCAAATAATGTTCTTTTTTTAAAATATGCATGTCTAAACTAACTAATACCATACTGAAGGCAGGAAACGATGAACGTTTGTCTGTGTTGTCATCCCCGCACAGCTTTGTCCATCTGCTCTTTTGATAAAAGTCTTCAGCCAGAATAATTTTAAAAAAAAATCAATCTGACTTTCTTTCCATAACAGTAAGCTTTTTTTAAAAGAATTGCAGCACATCTGGCACTATGTTTTACCAGAATCACATTTTGATGGATGCACATTTTTCTTTTATTTTCTTTATTTTTATTGAATGTATGGTGATCTTACCTACCTACCTTTGGTATATGCACCATACCATAGCACACCATACAGGTTTTATTTTAAAGCAGATTAAAAAAAAACAGAATGACAGCTGACCAAGTGCTGTACAAGAAGAGATGCAAACAAAAAAGGCTAGGTCAGATCAGGTAAGATCACCATACATTCAATAAAAATAAAGGCAGCATAAACTGCGGAATATAATACAAAAGGCCAATCACCTAACACTAGAGGTGAAACATAGGAATAAAACACATTTATAAAAACAAGGTTACAAAATTAGAAAAACAACGAGAGAGCACGCTCCCCATGTGATTTGTGCTTCATTTTGGGCGTAAACAATTGTAATAAAAATGAACTTGTCATCTGTTGTATAATTGCTTTATATAAGTTATTGATCACTACTGTTTGTCAATCACACTTATCATGAGGATGTAATCAAGGGTAATCATGGTAGAGCCGAACATAATGTGATCATGAGGATGTAATCAAGGTAATCATGGTGGAGGTGTGCAGCTTTGCACGCACATCAGGGAATGTATAAGGAGCAGAGGAGGGCTCAGGGGGTTAGAGCTGCTTGAAGGATTCTACCTGACGAGGTTCATGGATTACATGTGTTCAGTTCTTCACCTATCATGGATTACGTTTTCTAACTGGGGTGTTCAGCTCTCCACCCATAAGCAACGGTAAGAGAAATGTTTCGTTCATGATTGATAACTTGTATGAATGCCGGTTGAATAAAGCCTTGTTGTTCATCTGATATTCAAGTTGTGTTTCATTGTTTCTGGCGTCGACTTGACAACGATCCTGACTAAATAAATATAAAGTGTAAAAAGAGACTTTGAGTCTTTTAAGGTAATTAAAATAAAATAAAACATTTTATTTTAGAACAACAATAGCAGGTGATCTGCTGACCTTAAAGAATGCGAGGGAACATAGGGGATGGTCAACTCGTACAGGTACAGAAGAGACAAGCCATTTAGAGCTTATTAGACGAAGGTCAGAACTCTGAAGTGCACCTATAAGCGTACAGGGTGCCAGTGAAGGTCTGTCAGGATGGGTGTGATACGATTTCGTCTGTCAGAGTTGGTCAGGAACCTGGCTGCAGCATTTTACACTTTCTGCAAACGATTGAGGGAGGAAACACTGACACCAATGAGGACTGAAATAGCATAGTCCATAACAATTAAGCAACAACTCCGATTAAAAAAAACTCTGCAAAGGAGCTATATGTGCTTACTTTTTTCTACAAAATAAGTTAATGAAGAAGAATCAGCAACACTTTACAGCAAGGGTCCCTTTATCAACGTTACTTAGTGCATTATTAAGCATTAATAAACAAAAAGACCCTTTTTAAACTTAACTGTTTTCTATTAAGTGTCCTTAAGGTTTGGACAATGAACAGTTGTTAATATTTTATTTAATAGTTTATTAAAGCTTAATAATGCGCTGAGATAAATTAATAAATCTATAAATAATATTGTAAAGTACCAAGTTTGATCCCCGGACACAAAAAATGACTATTGGGTCATGATCACACTCCTCAGCGTCCAGGGAAAGGTCTACTCCAGGGAAAAGGAGAGGAGGATCCGGTCGATAGTTGAACCTCAGATAGAGGAGCAATGTAGTTTTTGTCCTGGCCGTGGAACTGTGGACCAACTCTTTACCCTTGCTAGGGTGGTGGAGGGGTCATGGGAGTTTGCCTAACCAATCCACGTGTTTTGTGGATTTGGAGAAGGCTTATGACCGTGTGTCCAGAGGCACCCTGTGAAGGGCACTCCAGGAGTATGAGGTGAATGGTCTTTTGCTAAGGGCCATTCAGTCACCTGTACCACAGGAGTGTGAGTTTGGTCCACAGAGCCATCAGTAAGTCGGACCTGTTCCAAGCCAGGGCTGCCCTTTGTCACCGGTCCTGATCATAACAATTATGGACAGGTTATCTAGGCACAGCCGTGGTGTTGAGGGTGTGGAGTTTGGTGGCAGGAGAATCTCATCTCTGCTTTATGCAGACGATGTGGTCCTCCTAGCTTCATCAGGCTCTGACCTTCAGCTCTTGCTGGGGAGGTTTGCTGCCGAGTGTGAAGCGGCGGGGATGAGAATCAGCATCTCCAAATCTGAGACCATGGTTCTCGACAGGAAAAGGGCGGCTTGCCAACTCCGGGTCGGGAGAGAGGTCCTACCTCAAGTGGAGGAGTTCAAGTATCTCGGGGTCTTGTTCACGAGTGAGGGAAGGAGGGATCGGGAGATCGACAGGCAGATTGGGGCAGCGTCTGCAGTGATGCGGATACTGAACCGGTCTGTTGTGGTGAAGAGGGAGCTGAGCCATAAACCAAGGCTCTCGATTTACCAGTCGATCTTCCGCCCAGTCCCCACCTATGGTCATGAGCTTTGGGTAATGACCGAAAGAACGAGATCGCGGATACAAGCGGCCGAAATGAGTTTCCTCTGTTGGGTGGCTGAGCTCAGCCTTAGGGATAGGGTGATGAGCTCGGACATTCGGTAAAGACTCGAAGTAGAACCGCTGCTCCTCCATATCAAGAGGAGTCAGTTGAGGTGGTTTGGGCATCTTGTTAGGATGCCTCCTGGACGTCTCCCGAGGGAGATGTTTCAGGCATGTCCTGCCGACAGGAGTTCCCCTGGTCGACCCAGGACACGTTAGAGAAAGTACATCTCCGAACTGGCCCAGGAATGCCTTGGGGTCCTGCCGGATGAGCTGGTGGAGGTGGCAGTGGAGAGAACGGTCTGGAACTCCCTGGTTGGGATGCTGCCCCCGCGACCCGGACCCGGATAGGCAGAAGAAGACGAGACAAGAATATTGTGAAGTGTTACCGAAGAATAAATGGAACATTATCAACAGACCCACATCCACAATTACACAGATTAAAAACACAACTTGTTATTTTTCTTTCCACAACAGAATCCTGTAAGACTATTTCCAGAAAGCAGACAGTGAATATATCAGGTGGGAAATGACTGATACATTCATAATGTCATAAGAGACAAAAAGCTCACCGATGAGAAGCACTGTTCCAACTGCTAACCCACCACCTGTTAATAAAAAGAACAATTATTAATGTATTGGCTACATTTCACTGGAAACAAACAGCCTAAACAATTTCATGAAAACGTCTAGCTCTCCATTTGGCCACCTGCTACTTCCAAAGTTTGAACTAGTATCTTATGTTAATCATTTAACATTTGTGAGATGACTCGCCACAGCACATATTTTGATCTGCATTAATTCATGCACGTGTGAGAGAGAACAGAAATTGGGTTTTGTATCCATTTTGATGTTCTTTTCTTTATGTGTGTGAAAAGTAGGGCTGCACAATATATCGTTATCGCGATTTCAGCACGCGCAATATGCATATCGCAATGAATGGTCAGCTCAAATGTTTGCTACACATATCGCATTCTGTCAATCAAATGGAAGCATGATGTTTTTTTAACATAGAGCTCTTTACCCATTTGGCCAACTGGGTGGGTTGTCATAGGTTAGATTTCTGCCCCCAAGGCGGACGGCACTTAATTTTGATGGTTAGCTTTGTTCTGCTCTTTTTGCTGATTCTGCTTTTTCTGGGATCCACCGAATGCTTTTTCTTGTTCATTTTCTTTTTCCCTTTCCTCACATCTTTTGCTTTTCCGATTTTCATGATTTTTTAAGTCATTTTTAAATTTCTTTGTATTTGATTATTTTTGTTCCTGAGTTAAGTTTTTATTTATTGCAAGTAATATCGTCACTGCAATATTAATCGCTGTTATCGCATATCACAGGTTTCCCTAATATCGTGCAGCCCTAGTGAAAAGTATAGAAATCAACAGCAAAACGCTTACACATCTATCACAAACCGTGCAACGTTCCACTGTTTTTCTTGGTTTACCTGCTGCTATTTATTGGCGCAAAAATAATAAGTGATAATCACAATTTTTTTTATTAATTCTATTATGTTGTGTGCTGGATGTTTAGGTTCTGATGCTGACAATAACAATCTGGATTATGCAGCAAATGTAAATATTATGAATATGTTAATCAAAATACTGAGTGAGGTAAGAGAAAAACAATTATCTAGTCTTAAAATAACACCAGGTGACAAAGGCAATAATACCAGGAATATAAAAATAACTGTGGCAAATATAAATGAAAGAGAGAATTGTAATCCTAGTGTAGGACAGCATGTTGCTCTGTTAGATTACAGCAGTTTTGTTAACCTATCATCAGGGTTAGGGTTTGAAATTCTAGATTTACCAGGGCTGCCAACTTTTGAACATTTCAGAGTGAGACGGGGTCACTGGGTTGGGAGCAGACAATTTGCCGACTAATTGGGGGGGGGGGGGGTGTTAATATTGACTTTATTTCTTTCTTTCTACTCTGTACGGAAGAGGATTAGAGCCACTGACAAGGGAAAAAAGAAAAGACAGAGAATTCTAACTTTTTTCTCAGAATTCTGACTTTTAACCTCGGAATTCTGACAGGGAATTCTGGGGGGAAAAAATCTGAATTCTCTTTATTTTCTTCTTTTTTTTTCTTTTCAGTGGCCCTAATTCTCTTCCGTGCCTCTGACTTAAAAGAGGGAACTGACCTTTGTTTGATACAATTTTGCTTTTCGTGAGGAAAATTTAACATTCAACTCTCCTGAACTTCTTGACACTATCTATCTATCTATCTATCTATCTATCTATCTATCTATCTATCTATCTATCTATCTATCTATCTATAGTAACGAGCTACAGGAACTTTTGATTTAAATTCCATCTAGGGGTGGGCAATATCATATCATTATTACTAGTTATTATTTCCTGCCAAAAAACAAAAAGCAATCCATCATGTTAAGCTAACTTCATGATGTATTTGCATCCACTAAACAGAGGATTATGTTCATGTGGGTCATCAGCATGAAGTTACTGAAGTTATCAAAGCAAACATGGCTGGTATCAGTTTTACCTGTAATCTGTGTCTCTAAGTGTGTGTGCCGCTGTAATGAATGGATGTCCCCACTGTGGGACTAATAACATTTACTCTATTATATTCTATTAATTCATATCAGCCAGTAGGAAAAAAAAAAACGTTTGAGGAATTTTGGCCTTTCCAGGCTTCCATACCAGTAACCTGGTTATGGAGGAGGGATTCGTCTCACAAACAGAAAAAAACACACTGGTGAAGCGGTGAATTAAAACATTTGGAATCCACGTCACGAACTAATGAAGGAGAGGGAACATGTGATTGAGCCACCACGGTAGGAAGCCCAGCTTGCTGTGAGCGAGAGCAGCGATCTGTGGCTGATGAGTGAAAACAAAAGAAAAACATTCGGGACTGAAGCTCTGTCAACACCGGCTGGCAACACGGCTGCATTTCTGAAAAATAAAGCATGTTGTTTTGGCGGCGCGCGCAGCCGCAGCCCACGGTTCTGAAGAACCGGGCATGCCCGTCCCATCAACAGCAGGTGGAGCTCACCACTCCGCCCACCTCACAAACTGAGCACATCGGTTTGGATTATACAGATGGGATTATGTGTGAAATAACGCCGGTTAAATTATTACTTACGTGTTGCTTGTGTGCATGTTCAGTAGCTAATGCCATCATTAATATCATCTGTTTTTTTTCATAAGCCCTACACACTGTGCGTGATGCGCGTTTGGAGAGCGCAGGCGCTGGTTTAGCGTGAGATATTGGAGGTGTGGCGTGAGAGCGTGTGAAGAGGATCAAATGCGTGTGTCTCACGCTCAGTGCGTGAGAGTTGGCGTTTTACATCTCAGTGGTTGCCAATTTCAGCAAATGTACTGATAGCTCATTGAACAGGTTAACTTTGTGATAAAAGGATGTTCTATTCAGCAATGAACGATGTGATTATGTGAAGATGTATTTGCAGCAAATTAAATACTGCTGAGCAATTAAAAACAATATACGTATGCACAAATTGTATATTCTACAGAGGGGCAACAGATGAAAAAATGTAGATCCAAGCCTTATTTAAAATGGACTTTGAATCATCTTTTAATACAGTAAGTATTTAGTTCATAGAGTTACAGTAAAACGCACCGTTAGCCTACAGCTAGACGGACTGCGTGGAAACAAAAATAGGACACTTACCGAGCAGATAGTCCAGCGACGTAACTCCGGTAGAAACTAAGAGTTGTCCGTTTTGAACCGAAGGTCTGGTACCAGGGATAGAGATTAATTTACTCTTTGTTTTCTTCTGAAAGCTCGTATTGTTGGACGACAACGATTCAGCTGAGGTTTTATCCATACTTCTCACGGGAGCCGCCATGTTTCTGGTAGCGTAGTGACGTTTACAATGTTGTGACGCTTGTTCTCAAATCAAAGAAGAGCTTGCTGCAGCTCGACCAATAGAGAAAGCGATTGTTTGGTGGCGAAGGCTTTCAGGAAGCTTCAGTGGGTTATTCAAGTGTGCTGGTCTGAATTACAGTTCTGGAGGTAAGAAAAACTCTACTGGTTTTAAATAATGTTGTATGCGGTTCTCTGTGTTTCTGCGTTAACTTCTAACAATGTAGAGTTGTTGTGTTTCAATGTTTAAATTATTCTCATTATTATTCCCATTATTTCGGCTTTTTGCGGAAACGACCTTGTTCAGGTTACTATTTAAAAAAAATTGCACGCCTAATAATTGTTATTTACATTATTTAATGCCACGTCATTAATAAAACGTTCAAAATGCATAAATGGAAACTACGCCCTTTTTTTGGTTATATTTAAAATAAAATATTATTGCATGCAAGTTGCGCTCATTTTCGACAGAAAATATTGTGGAGTTTCTGTCAACATCAACCATTTTGTCTATAATAATTAAAATCAAGCCATTTTAAGGAAAGTGGGTGGCATATTGTGAGGCCTCATAATTGTTTTACTTTTCTTTTATTAAACTTTTTGTTTTTATATGTCACATACTGTAGTTTATCTCAAGTATATTTACTGTAAATACACTATAGTTAGTTTTTAGCATGTTCTGTCGCACTGAACATTTGTGTGTCAACTATTTACTCTAAGCAAAAAGCCGCCTAATCAGTCATCGTACTTTGTGCAACTTCTGTGTGAAAAAAGCCTAAAATATCACAGACTATAACCATAAAATGGAATGTTATATTACTAGCATTTCACAATTTGTTTTGACAATAACAAAAACAAAATATACATACTTTCAGTTTGAAAAAAAAAGGTGTATTCTCACAAACTCCAATACTGTGCTGTAACACAAAGTATCACAGCAGCTGCATTAGTTTTTGTTTCGTTCTAATAATCCCTGAAGCTGACCCATATTAATTATGGATGGAAAAACTATACAAAACAAAACTCAGCTGAGAGAAATGCATTTTCCAGGTCTCAAGAGATTTGCATGCACTGGGTCCTCATGCAGCGTCAGCAAGTAACACAAGTAAACACTCTTGATAGACAGCATGGATTGAAACTCAAAACCAATAGTTTACCATTTTCAGGTGCGTTGAATCTCTGATTTATTTCCAGAATTACTTCACAGTTCCTGCTTTTTTCTCTACTTTTTGAGACAACTACAGTCTGAAATGTGTTCCTGCAGCCATGTCTTGGTGACTCAGGTATTTATACAATCTCAGTCTCCTTGCTGTATCCTCATCAAAATTCTTTTTTTTTTTGTTTGTTTTGTTTCTTGAATGCTTTTTAATTCCGACCAGACATGGAGACAGAGGTGAAAGAGAAAGGAAGAGACAAAAGGTGGTGGTGGGGGGGGGGGGGGGGGGGTGTCCACAAAATTAAACAATAATGAACAAGAGTCTGCTTCTAGACCTGCAGAAAGAGAGAAGAAAAAAAGGGACACAACAACAATACAACAAGATCCAGCTATCACTGCGTCAACTTGATGAAGAAATATATAATCAACATTGTTTAACTGAACAATCACACGATAATAAATCACAGTGCATTAAGTGACCACCATAGTCTTAAGACCTGTGTTGAACGTGCCCAAGTCCATACTTATGATGTAAGGTTTCTCTATAGGAGCGTCCAATGCGACCAGAAAAGCCCCTGCCTCCCTCGAGAGGCGCAGAGGATCGCCCCGGGGGGCCACAACCAGCAGCCGGCAGAGTCCCGGGAGATACCGGCGGCAAGCCCACAGGCCCACCCGCAGCCTCCCACCCCCTAGCCGGCCGAGCCCGGGACCCAATGACCTGGGACCCAGGGGCGACCACCCCCGCCGGGGACCCAGCAGAGCCCAGGGACCCAGACCCCACCAGGCAGCCACCGGGATTGGTCAGGCAGATGCCAAAAATCTTAAACCCCCTGACCCAGGAGCCACGACCCAGGCAGACCAAGGCACCGCACTCCACACCAGGTGTGGCAGGGAGAGGGGAGACGAAGATCTATATCATCAAAAGAAGTCTCAGGAAAAGGGAGGAGTCAAAGGCCCCACCTGACATATACAGTCATACACAGACACAGTCACACACTCCCTCCCTCATGCTCACACATGCACATACAACCAAAGACTTACAAAAATGCACACCAGACACCCACTCATGCTCCCCATACACACCCTATTCACTCTGGTCCGGTACTGCTGCACATTGGGTACAACCATTACCGGCTACCAGAGTTCGACCCTTTCTGCTGGGGTGCTGATGAGCAGGCTCCACCACCCAACGCTGAGCACAGCAACCCACCACCTTAGACCCCAACCAGACGGCCGGATCTCCCTCCTAGCCTCCAGCCCCAGGAAGCCAAGCAACAACAGAGGTGTGCTAAGACCCCTAGTCACCCTCCGCCTGCTCCAATATGGTGTTAGTGAGTGTTGATGAGGTGTATTCCATGGCTTTGGTGAGCAGGCAGTGTGGGCATTGTCTGGTCTATGCCAGCTGAAGCCACCACACCACCCCACTTGCACCCACAGCCCTCGGTGTCTAAGTGCAGTTTAAAATTGGGAGTGGGCACCGGCACTTGGGATGAGGCTGAGAAATCCCCCCTGCCAAATGCGGAAATGGGGTCCATACCTGCACTCCTTGACTTGTCCACCCCCCAAGGTCCTATGTGCATGTTTGTGTGATGATGTGAGGGAGCAGGAGGAGAGATATGTGTGGGGATGGGGAGGAATGGCTGGTTGGGCTTAGCCCTCCAGGGACCCAGATCCCCCACTGGCCCCAATAGGCACCTCTGTTGTCAAAATGCCACCCAGTGCATGGAGACCCCAGCCCATCCTGCCAGGGCCCAAAGCAGCAGCAGCATCACAGAGCCTCACAGAGTCCGAGGGCACCAACCCAGCAGAATATCTATGCCCATCCCTGCATTTGCACAACTTCCGGATTATGAAAGACGTAGGACATCCAGGTAAGGTTGGATCCTCCCCCTCCCCTGTGATGGGACAGCAGAGGAGCCATGGTCTACCTGAGGCCCCTGAACCCAAGTCATGACTGCTGCATGTTCCTGCCTTCTCCCCGGCAGCATATATGTCAGGACCCGACCCCCAAGGACCCCGCCCAGAGCCCCCCACGGGGCCGGCCACCCCCACACCCCGAGCCCCCACACCCCGAGCCCCCAGGCCCCCACCCAGACCCGCACAGTGGCAATGCAGCTGCCGGGCAGTGACCCATGGCCACCGCCAAGACCTCCAAGGGGCCCCATTCACAACCGCCAGTAGTCCACCCCCCGAGGCAACCCAAGCACCTCCAGAGGGGGGCAACGGCCCCCCAGCCCCAGACACCCCCAGTGAACCCACCTCCAGGTAACGTCCAGATACTCCAAACCCAGACCCTCAACCCCCTCACCCACATCATCCCGCAGGACAACATCAGCGGTCCCCCATCATCGCTATGTGATGGAACCGATCAAAGGAGCCCCGAGAGATTGATTTGAAGTGGAAGCAGAGGCTAAATCAAGTGTAATATGATCTAACAAAATATTTCTATACTGGTTATTGCAGAGATTTTCTCTATTTTTCCAATTCAAGAGGATAGTTTTCTTAGCGATGCATATGGCAGTCAGAACCACGTGAACCAAAGATGTTTCAATCGGAACATCGTCCAGGTTTCCCAGTAAACAAAGAGAGGGGGAAGTTGGGATATGACATTTCAGACATTTTGACAGATCCTCACATACTCTACCCCAAAATTCCTGGACAGGTGGACAGGACCACAGTGCATGAATGTAATTGTCAGGAATGTTGTTTGTGCAGTGTGTACAGGTGTCAGACGACACAAACCCCATCTTGAACATCCGATGACCTGTATAGTGTACTCTGTGTAGAATTTTGTACCGAATTAATTGTAAATTGGAGTGTCTGATTATTTTAAAAGCTTTTAAACAAGTTTGGGACCAGAAGTTCTGGTCAAAGCTAATTGATAGATCCACCTCCCATTTTTCAATAGGGATTGCTATTCTATCGTCTATTTTGGACAATGTCTTATATACTTTAGACAGTAGTTTGGGGGGGTTGAGACAATAGAAGTCTAATACCCTTGGTGGTGTTTGTAATTCTATTTTATTGAGCTTAAATTTTTGTTTGACTACAGATTTAATTTGGTGGTATTCTAAAAAGCTATTCTTATCCATTCCAAATTGGGATACTATTCTATTAAATGGGATGAAGTCCAATCCTTCCTCATCAACATTCTGAAGTCTTTTACTCTGTTTGCCAGTGATTTTGGGTTAGCTGTGTGACCCAAAACATGCATAAATTATACATGTTTGTATAAAGTAGGTCAGATGGAATGATAAAGAAAGGGTCCCAGTTATATTCTTGCATAATGATTTAGACGCATTACCTTCTTTAGGCGTTGTCTACTAAACGCCAAATTTTAAAGACTGAAAATTTTTCTCTTGTTTACGGAGGTGTAGAACTGCCACCCACGCAAAATAAAATTTGAGCAAAATCATTTTATAACATCATAAATGTATTGTTCCAACCATATATTACAATATATGATCACATTCTTACAATTAACTATCATGTTCTAACAATAATATTTTCATGTTCATAAAATATACATACTTATCACATTTGTAAACTATATTATCATGTTTTAATCATATAAATATTATATCGCACAAACGTGAAAATTATATTGTTCAAACAGTAAAGTTGAGATGTTATACAGTGATTTTGCTCCAATCTATCTTATTTTGCGTGGGTGGCAGGTAAGCGTTGCCATACTTGTTTGTAAATGCACATAAAAAATGGTCAAATAAATATAGAAAAAATATAGATCACAAGATGCCCTTTAGGTTATAAATTGTAAGTCGCTTTGGAAGCGTCTGCTAAATGAATGAACATAAACATAAAATTCACTTTTTAGGTACACTTTTACAAGTGATAGCTAACCTATAAATAAAATACAATTGATATTGATCAGAAATTTAAATGAAAAAATGCTTCTTGGTTAGGAAGTTCCATTTAAATTGAGCATCAAGTTGCAAGGGACCATCGAAAATACTTATTCCAAGACAATTAGTGCAAGAAATTTAAAAATGTATCCAGTATTTTCCATTAAGGGGCAAAATAAATTGGTCACATATATATTCTTGCCCTAAGAGAGAGATCTGATTTAATGAGCATGTTTGATACATTGGTGGGATGGGATAACATGGACTCTGCCAAGGGTGCCCCCTTTTTTTTTTTACCAATTCCATTCACAACTTTTATGGACAAGGTTTATAAGATTTCTTGCAGCCAATGTGTTGAGGGGATCCGTTTTGGTGACCTAAGGATCATGTTTCTGCTTTTTGCAGATGATGTGGCTTCATCGTGGGCTATATTTGATATAGTGCCTTCTAGAGCCCTGGAATGCCCCAAGGCGCTTTACAACACAATCAGTCATTCACCCATTCACACGCTGGTGTGGATGGGCTACGATGTAGGCACAGCTGCCCTGGGGCGCACTGACAGAGGCGAGGCTGCCGAGCACTGGAGCCACCGGTCCCTCCGACCACCTCCAGCAGGCAAGTGGGGTTAAGCATCTTGCCCAAGGACACAATGATAGCGACAGACTGAGGGGGTCTTGAACCTGCAACCTTCCGATTACATGGCGAGCACTTAACTCCTGTTCCACCGTCGCCCCACAAATCATTAGCACGGGATCTCCAGCTTTCGCTGTAGCAGTTCACAGCCGAGTGTGAAGCAGCTGGGATGAGAATCGGCTCCTCTAAATCTGAGTCCATGGTCTTGATCCGGAAAAGGATAGAATGCCTTCTCCGGGTCAGGAATGAGGTCCTGCCTCAAGTGGAGGAGTTTAAGTATCTCAGTTTCTTGTTCAGCAGTGAGGGAAAGATGGAGCGCAAGATCGATAGGAGGATTGGTGCAGTGTTTGCACTGATGCAAGCATTATACCGGTCTGTTGTGGTGAAGAGAGAGCTGAGCCGGAAGGTAAAGCACTTGATTTACTGGTCAATCTACCCTCATCTTGACGCGGAGTACAGAGGTCTGGTGAGAGATTTTGTCGCATGGAGTCACTCGAATCACCTGCAACTCAACACCTTAAAGACTAAGGAACTGGTTGTGGACTTCAGGAGGTCAAGAGAGGGTCCAGTGCCAATTAAGATAGAGGGGGAGGAGGTGGAGGTGGTCAATAAGTACAAGTACCTTGGGCTGTGGGTGGACAATAAACTGGACTGGTCATGCAACACAGACCACCTGTATAAGAAAGCCCAAGGCCGACTGTACTTCCTCTGGAGGCTGAGGTCTTTTAACATCTGCAGGAAGCTCCTGAGGATGTTTTACGAGTCAGTGGTTGCTGGAGAACTTTTGTTTGCTGTGGTGTGCTGGGGGAGTGGCACAGCGAAGAAGGACACATCTAGGCTGGAGAAGCTGATCAGGAAGGCAGGCTCTGTGGTCGACATGAAACTGGACACTTTGGTGTCAGTGGCAGAGGAAAGGACATTAAAAAAACTGCTTGACATTATGGACAATGTTGGGCATCCTCTGCACACGGCCATAAACAAACAGAAGAGTCTGTTCAGTGAAAGGCTGCTTCTCCCCAAGATAAGAACTAACAGACTTAAAAACTCCTTTGTCCCACACGCCGTCAGACTGTATAACTCCTCTCTGGAGGGGAGAGGGAGGAGAAACAGGAGGACAAAGGAGGGGGGGGGGGGGGGGGGGGGGGACACCGAAGCTGTAGTGACTCTTCACTTCACTGTGCAATACCTTCTATGCAAGTACCTTTGTTAAACAGTCAAATTGGTTTAATAGTCAACGGTGCTAAGGACTTTGATATCTGGAAGGTGCAATTCAATTGTATTTTTATCTTTATTTCTATTTTTTATTATTATATAACATTTTCTGACGCTCTGTAACTTCTGTCGGTGTTGTGCTGCTTTTTTTGGAAACCGAATTTCCCAAAGGAACTCAGCCGAGGGATTAATAAAGTTCTATCTTATCTTATCTTATCTTATCTTATCTTTGGTCACAAACTTTGGGCAGTGACTTAAAGAACGAGGTCGACCAAGCGGTGAAAATGTGTTTTCTCGGCAGAGTGTCTGGGCTCTCCCTTAGAGATAGGGTGAGAAACTCGGTCATCCGGGAGGGGCTCAAAGTAGATCTGCTGCTCCTCCACATTGAGAGGAGGCAGTTGAGGTGGTTTGGGCATCTAGTTGTCTCCTGGATGCCTCCCTGGTGAGGTTTTCTGGCCACATCCACCCCCGGAGGAGCTGGCTCAAGTGACTGGGGAGAGGGAAGTCTGGGCCTTCCCGCTTAAGCTGCTGCTGACCCAACCCCAGATAATGAATGAAAATTAGCAGATGGATGGATGACATGTTTTAGGGAGTAGAGCTGAGTCAGCGTTTGTTGTTTTTGAGCTAGCATCCAGTCTCTTTGATGTTATCGTGACATTTTATATATTTTTCAAACTCCTTAAATTCTGTTTGGCAAAGGGGGTCAGCCTGGTTTGTTTTGTGCTTTATAGCGTCCACTAGTATTAATGTTGGGCTGAGGAGTGATCAGTAACATCCTTAAGACAGCTATAAAAAGCTTTGTGTAGCAGAGAGAGGCCAGGGGCAGCGCAAGATCGCAGGATGCTGTGACGCTCCAGAGGAAGCAATCGCCCAACTGCTCACTTTACAAATGCTCTCAGCAGAGGCAGTCCTGCTGTTTTGACAGCACTGTTGAGACTTATGTGTGCTGACAGAAGGCCAAGGGAATCTATCATGACTGACAACACTGGGCATTGTGGGAAGACTATATGAGACAAAGAAGATGCTCTGACTGGTCTGCATCTCAAATTAAGAAACTGCTACAGCAGTTCAGTGTGCACGATGTATGAGCACCAATTTTTCATCCTTATCCTCCGTTCACTGGAACTCTGTTGGTTTACTTGTAAACTTCTGTGTTGTAGGACACAAAAACACCTGGATAAGTGTTCATAAATAACACTTAACTACATTTTTAGACTGAAATTTAGCAAGTTTATTTATTTTTTGGCAGTTCTATCAGCCTCTGTATCTGATTTAGCTGTATAATGGCAGCAGTCATAACATGTCAGACCCTTCCTGGTCACAATGTTTTGGTTTCTTTAGCCTTATTCTGCCATCAGTTCGGAACAGCCAGAAACGGTTGGACTTTTTTTTCCGGAGGATGTGAGATTATCGCCAACTTGCATCATATTTGTTTTGGTAATGTTGAAAGGAAAGCAATAGTCTCAGGGCACAAGGACAATAAACATAGAATTGGTTTTGTGTACAGCTAATTTTGTCCAAGGATCTAACTTTTTCCATTTGTTCATCTGTGTTGAATAGCTTTATTTTGGTGCCCTGAGATTTATGTTGCAGATGTTCCACCAACCTAAAGAAAAATACATGCTCTGGTATGATTGTAAAATAAGGAATGTCTGTAATTAACTCATATCGTGCCAAACATTTATTTCTCAATTTTCCGTTATTTTAATGTTTTACATAAATCTTTTCTATGGTCCTTTCTCACACCTTTCAGGGTTTAACGTATGATTTGTCAGAAAAGAGTCAAAAAAGTTAAAATTTTCAGTTCCATAAATGTTTATTTTCTGAGCAACAAGGTTTCTTGTCAGCAGTGACGGTGCTGTTCTCCGATTTGTGGATAACCTAAACTCTTTTGTAAAACTGTTACAACACCAGATAAGATATGTGAACTCTCAGCACAGAGGCAGTGCGACACAATCTCTTGTGGTCAATACAATAAGGCTTAGTGACTGACTTTCCATTGAATGAAATTGGCTAGGGACTCCGTCAGCCTCCACTTCCTTTCACTTCGCAGCGGTCGTATTCATATCGCTTGGCCATTATTTGCTCTGGCTGACCCACGGATGGTAGATATAAACCAAGAGCTTCTGAACGGTAACGTCGCTCAGCTGTTTCACAGCTTTGTTGCTGTTGGCAACAATGAAAAGAGCAATATGGAGATCAGTCTTTTAAATTAAGCCTCTGATAGAAGGCAGAATCAGGAGAGATTTGGGACTCTGTCACTGGGACCTTTACATCTGTTCCTCCTCATCCAGCCAGGTGTCTTGTGTTTAAATCAACAGGATTAACTCTGATTGGACTGATAGTCAAAACAGACCCCCTCAGTTGACAAAGCTCCTCCTTTTTATGTCTCACATTAAGATCAAATCAAGCCATGCGCAACAGGACAAACTCCCCACCCTCCCTTGCCTTCTGCTGTCCAGAAGAAAGACATCAGAGGTGGGATTCGTCCCCACTCTGCTCTGGCTGCTCTTCCAGACTCCCTTCCATCTGTGATCCTCGGGGAGGAGAGGAATATCTGACAAGGGGCTCGTAAGCCTCTTAGCCCCCCTGTTGCCCGTTTCTCTCTCAGCCCATGTTTTCCTAATTTAGTTGTGTAAGAAGTCCACCACGAGGCCCTTGTGTGCTGTTTGGATTGATATTCTCTTTGTGGTCCTAATAGACTGGCTATGTATATCAATTAACACCACACACTCATGGCAAGGTCAAATCTCTGGAGGGCAGTGGAGGTAATTCCTTTCTGACTATTTCCTTATGGAGTCAATAATGTTCATTTATTAAGGTATTACTTATGTTGAGCGGTTATTGATTATATATTTACTATTCCTATATTAGTTACTTTATTATGATATAAATTGAACATATTTAAATTTGTAAAGATGGTGTAATAGTCCAATTTCTTATTTAAAATAATTTAATAACATTTTAAATTTTTATATTGAAGTCACATCTTTAAGGATCTACATATTTCTGTAGCCACTGGTTTGAATTTAGAGCAGGTTGAGACGAATAGAAGCATCTCTAGTCATGTAAATGCACAGGAGAGGAAAAATAAACACCTTCCTCACATTTTATCTTTGCATTGTTTTTTTTCCCAGCTGAGTCACATGGTAGCTAAACTTCGGCAAGAATTTAAGTTTTGGTAAAAAAAAAAATGTTTTATCGTTATTATTTTATCTCATTGAGCTAGTTATGATTGCACCACGCTGAATGAAGGGGTTCCCTCAGTGAGAGGATCACAAACTTTAACACACAGTGACGTTTCCATCTGCCCCTATTCATATGGGATCCTCCTGGTTTCTGTACTGTAGCTCCACACTGCAATAACAGGAGGCCAGTGGTCACAGATGGTTCTGCAGGAAAAGCTCCACTGCCTTTTTTTTTCTGCTTTTGCAGCAAACATGTTTGGCGTGTAATCCTGGATTAACAGAGACTTTGTGTTGGTTTACAGCTGTAATACATCATTCAATTAATGTGTGTTTCTGCTCCCACCACACACACACACACACACACACACACACACACACACACACACACACACACACACACACACGCGCACACACACACACACACATTCACCAGGCATTAGGGGCAAGAAATGGTGTGGGTTGCCTGACTCTTTGCCTCGGGGAAATTAGAGGTAATAGAGATCCAATCAGAGGTCTCTGTGGATGTCTACCTCATTCGAATTCCCATAAGAGTCCCTTCATCTCACACACATTGTATTAAATACACAGGTGATCCTATTGTCCATGCATATGCAGACACACACACACACACACACTATCAGTGACACAGGGTGCTTCAGAAAACCAGGCGGCTGCATATGGACTCTTGATATCAGCCACTGGCCGTGTGATCTTGTTATGCAAAATCCCTTAATCCCTACCTATGATGAATGCATGCTGGAACGGAGAGGTGGGGGTATGAGGGCAGCTGCATGGGAGGCTGTCCACTTTGCTTTGCGAATGATTACAAACAAAGATTCCCGATCCCTAGTCTAGCAGAAGGAGATGCACATGTGAGATCGTGTCTGAGAGAGCATTACAGTACCAGAATGATGGTGGAGCACACTGTGACCAGGAGGAGGAGAGATGAGCAGGCTGCTTTAGTGCAGACCTGAGATTCACATTAACCCTTAGACCACTTTCTTCCCAACAGAGGTATAAGAGGGCTAGAGGTGTTATTCCACCAGCTGGGGGAGGGCTGGGTTTATAGGTCCTGCAGAAAAGAACAAGGAGCTGGGGAAAGGGGCACTTCATTTGGGCCCTGCACTGAGCAGCAATATGTCCCCCTTCACCTGCTCTGGCTCTGTCATTTGCAGTGTTTGTGAAAAAGATGAGGGTTGCCAGGGGTGATGATGGAACAGAGGGAAGAAGCAGAGGAACAGCAGCAGGAAGTGAGAGGATGAAGTTGGTCTTTTTTGGATCAAAGGGGATGGCGAATGGGCTAAAGACAACCCATGATAGGAATTTAAAAAATAGATAGGTGAAGTCTGGATGCAATGAATGAGAGAGCATTGTGTGTATGTGTGAAGAGTAGAGGGGGTAATGGGATTAGGGGTAACACCTTTGGCAGGGCTCAGAGAGCCACCTAACACCCGGTCTGTTGGGAACCTGGGGAGAAAGGGGGTAGAGGTAAGGGAGAAATTGGGGGCCTAATCCGTGTCCATCTTTGGGAAGTCATTCCCAGAGCTCTGAGGATTTGGGGCTTTGGTTTCCGCTCTGCTTGCTTTGGTTAATAATACCCTGGGAGGGAGAAGAGACAGAGAAGCAAAGAGACAGAAGGAATAGAGGAGATGAAGAAAAAGATTTCATTACCCTGTGGTGGACTAGCGGGACAGCAGCTTGAGTAAAGGAAAGTGACTGAAGCATACACTAATGTCTAAGCCTCACTGTATCTATTGTTATAAAATCTCTGTTTGTGTATATCCAGGTGCTTTTCTGCATACGCACCCACGACGGTGTGTACATACTGGCATGCCTTCCTCTGTCCATCCCACAGGTTGAGTAAAAGTCAATAACCTGAGAGTGGCTGAGATGTTTGCCCAGAAGACACGTGTACATATCCTTTGTTTGTGTTCAAATAACATTGTTTGCAGGGCAGTTGTAAGGGTACCAGGGTGTTTTTGTGTTTCTATGGTGCTGACAGGAGTTGATAGCAGCTCTAATGATTGGAACGATAGCAGAGGCAGCACAGAGTCGGGTTGGCTGGTTGTGTCACAGCTTCTGTGTTTGTCCATCACCTGAGCACAAGGTGTTGATAGGTCCATCCCACACACGGTCAAAGTTCAGGGCAGTTTTCTGGTGTGAACTGGCCACTCAGCCTCTGAGAATGAAACGCTAAATAACGTGCCATCATAGCAGTAGGCCAACTGTAACAGCCCTGTCCACACCTTAAGAAATCAAACGCAGAAAAGCTTTTTTAATCCTTTGAAGAATTTCAGCTCTACCAGTGCCGGATCAAACACAATGACAGCCAGTGTACCGTAACTTGTGGTTTGTCTGTTTCACAGGTGGAGATGCTTCGTCGGATGCTGGGGAAGACCTTGGGCTTTGTGGGTTACACAATCCAGTATGGCTGCATTGCACACTGTGCCTTTGAGTACATTGGAGAGTTTGTGGTGGTTTGTATTACACCGACTATTGAGCTCTTTTCACAATTTCTATTTTCTTTGGACAAAAATCAATTGAGGTTTTTGTTTTGATTCAGTGTTCTGGTCCATCCATGGAGCCTACGATTGTAAACCATGACGTTGTCTTCTCTGAACGCATGAGTCGTCACCTTTGTAGAATAGAAAAGTGGGTAGGACTGATGTGCATCACAATTTAAGCCTAGTTTCTACTTCTCCGTTGGTGTGTCAGTCTTATTAAGCAATTCTCTGCCAGGACAACTGAGGGCGTAGCACTTTTCTGGGGTATCTTGCAAACATTGCAGTCACATTTCTAGTGTATTTACTATTGTGTTTACGTAATTCAGAGACTATTTAACACAGGCAAATTTGTCCCTCATTGCCCTCCAACTCTTCATCCACTCACCACCTCCAAAACATCATTTGCCATAGTTTCCCGATACAAACAAAAGGTATGTTGGTAATGTTTATACATTTTCACACCCGAAGTGGCTAAAACTGACGAAGGGTGAGCCCCGATGTGTGGGGATATGACACGCTGTGCCAGAGTGGTCACAATTCTGTGACATCTCCGTTTTACCGCGGGCATCGGAAAGCAACGCTCTGGCACAGCGTGTCAGAAACAAATGCTTGGTCACCTTTTATCAGTTTTAGCCACTTCGGGTGTGAGAATGTATTGGTCAGTCACGGTTAGACTTTTTTCACGAAACATTCTTCAACCTGCTCTGTGTCTGCCACTAGATATCTTCGACTCTCGTTTTATTTATTAGAGGAGGGATGGTGGTGCTGTTGACGAAGTTTAAGATAGCGGCGTCCTGAGCAATCACAGGCCTGTGGTCTCTGTCGGTTTCAACTGATATTTAGAAGCTTGGGCTCCACTTTGCTCATCCTTGCAAGCCTGTTGGAGAGCCTTTATGATCACAGATGATGACGTTATGTGTCTCCACACTTACACAGATGGAGAAGTATGAACTAAGCTTAAGGCACAGTACACTTAATTCTTGCTTTTACTGAAAACTTGTCTCGTGATTTTAATAAATTTAATATGTTTATGTTCTGTTTTCAGGGGTGACATAGTAATTGCAAAAAGTCTGTTTGACCCAAATATGAACATTTGTAAAAGGGTAATTGGAATGGAAGGTGACAAGATCTGCACGAGCGCCCCATCAGATTTATTCAAGACCCACACATATGTGAGTATAGGCACACTGTGCACACCTAAACTGGTTGAGTTGTTGGATTTTCAGTCGTTTTATCTACTCACTGCCTCCTTTACAAAGTGAGAATTCAGTCGTCAGTTTTACAACAACCACAGCTCAGTGAATTCCTTAGAAAGAATAGAAAAATAAAAGCTACAGTTTGATAGACAATGGATGAATAAGGCGTTTAGTGCAAAACACTTGATGGTTTTATTCCAGCTTAAAATGACAAGCAGATCCTTTATGCATAATGCAAAACTGCATCTCAGTTTTCCTTTGTATGTTTTCCCGTGTCTATACGCTGTCAGACTTGTTTACATTTTAGACCATGCACATCCATTTTGTGTCACTGATCAAAAATATCAGCTTTTGACAACACCTATATTTCTTCAGAACAGTGATAAAACCAGAGAGTGAATGCGGTTTCTGCTGCTGAAACCACTGTCATTGCTTTTCTATTACTACTCTGCCCAACACCCACAGCTCAGGCCTGCAATCTCTCTGAAGCCTGTTAGAGTTAGTGCCAGCCGAATGGACAGACTGATGGGTGGGAGGAGGGTTATCTGAGTGTGTGTTTGTGTGTGTGTGTGTGTGTGTGTGTGACACTATATGACAGTCCACAAGGCTGTGTTTATGTTGCATGTTTTTGAATGTATTTTGTATTTTATAGACTATGGGCGGACACTTGAACAAGTTTATCAAAACATTGCACAAGGCCAAGTCTACAAGTGCCATTCATCAAATGAAAAGTAAATACTTTAGTTCCATCTTCTGCTGTCTTTACATCCACGTACAGATGACTAAACATAAAAGCAGTGGGATCACTGGGTTTTGATTTACCAAAATAGGTAGACTTTAAACTTTAAACTAGTGTATGTGGGTCTAGGTCGGGTTTAGGCATGTGTCGATTACTCCGATTCACTTTGTGAACTCTGGCCTATTCATTCACACACATGGATTTGGAGTAGTTAACCTTAAAAAGTGATACCCTAAATACATTTTCACCTTCCAAAGTGAAATATCTTTTACAAAAAGACACAGTCCATTCTTTTCCACTGAATTGCAAGCTGATTCTCTCAAGTGGCAACCTCTTGGCCTGTAAGTTTTTTTTCCTCTGAAGAAGTACCAGATGCCAGTTTTATGTCTGCTTCTTGCCTCCCCAGCTCCAATTTTTGGATTCTGTAACTCATCAGTGATGCAAGTCAGAAGAAATGTGATACAAGCTTTAAGACTGAGAATAC